ATTTAATGAATTTGCTCGACTGTTTTATTAGGATGTTTTAACAATAATTTAAATTGAATCAGTAGGAGAGCTTGCTTTTTTATATAAGTAAACAGCATTAATGATGCTGTTAAACTGTAGGGCGAACGTATACTTTACTATAGTAAGATGATTGATAGAAATCCTTTCAATAAACTAGTTGAGGTCGCATTAAAAATTTTGTATTTGCGACATTCAGATGCTGATGCTAAGCATATTTTCGGCGACATTTAATTTATAAAATAGAAGGGAAACATGCTTATGTGAAATTTAAAACTAGGCAAAACCAGTTTTATTGACTTCTACTCCAAAATTAACATTTTTTAATACCTAATTTTACATAAATTTAATCAAACCTAAAGCAAGAAATTTTATGAAAACTGAAGCTTTCATCAGCATCCTAAATGATTTAAAACGTATAAATAAATGCTGCATGGATTACAGTTGTTTAGACGATATTCTTAATAAAATTTGAAGAATGTCCTTTTAAAATTGGCAACGTAAATATGACGAAGTAAATTTTGATTCGGTTAAAGATGAATTATAATTTTCTTCATATAATTTCAATAATGAACTGTAATTTAGATAAACATATTTATTTGAATTGCAGAATACTCATTTTTAATCTTTTTATTGATATACATATAGTTTAGTAAAGCTATATTGAATTTCTTAATGGAAACAACAGTTTAAATTTTAATAATTTTGTTACATTCTTTGACTTCAATATAGATAAAAACATTTTATATGATGTATGATGAACAATTTTTTTAAATGATATTATTTTAATTTGAGCTTTTGTAATGAAGTTTTGCAACCATTTCTGGTTTAAATTTTTAATATTCATAATCTGGTGCTTCCTTAGAGATCTTTTATTTTCATATTTAGCGACATACTAAAGCTACGAATTGGTAGCCCTGATACTAGTAACGCTCTGATCAGCTGTAAGTATTACAATACTGTGATTATGTCAGCTATAACTTTTAAAGATATTTTCAAAAGACAGATTTACCTTACGTATTTCAATCTGTAGAAAATTTAAATTATACTCGGTATTCCGAAATGAAATATTTCAAAATAATTAATACTATAATAACTGAACAAAAAAATCTGTTTTGCTGGACGTGTGTTCGTTTTGAAACAGGCAATTTTTGATTTTTTCTTCCTCTCTGATTTTCACAACTTTATAAGAGGCTGTTGCGCACTGTTGCACTTGTCAGTATTCGGATTAAGAAAGCAGATTTTCTTCATACTTAGTCCCATTTAGTGAAACCCATGCACGTCACTGTATTACATGGTAAGTAAACTATCCTCTATATATATGTATATATTTGCTTACTAACCACCATGAAATAGATGAAACTGCAGAATGACATTGTAAGACACCAATTTACAGCAATTACGTAGATTCTCATCACCAGCACATAATTACTGGCAACCTGAATATCATACAAAACCATCAACTAAAAACACTAATGAGTTATGGTACAAAATTTAGACCAGTCAGAAACATGACTACAAATTACTGTTACAAGACTTTCGAAAACAACATCAACGAATTTATAGTTAAAGCAAGCTATCAACTGAATTTTCCCATAGATACCTTCTTAAAATGGAAAGCTAAAATTCTTCAACGCATATCCACAGAAATCAGTCACCTCAAATTTAAAAGTACACTGAACTGGTCGCAACTTACATCTGATATTAGTAAATTAAAACAGCTTTTTACTATTACAAAAATAGATAAAGCAACTAATAACTTTAGCATTATATGAAAACAATTTCATATAACGCTATTCAAATTCTACTCTGAGATTATTCATAAAGAACTTCTCAACGCAACTACTTATCAATCAGCCAACCTTACAGAAACATCTATAATAAACAGGATTAAAACTTTTCATAAGAAACTCAATATTACTTTCAATGCAAACTACAACAGATTTACTAATCTTTATGCGATTCCCAAATTCCATAAAACACCATTAAAATTTAGATTTATAGCTAATGGAACTAATAATTACAAGAAAAATATAGACTATTATTTTTCAATTCAACTTAATAAAATCTGTAAATTTATTTTCAATGATTGTAACACTAATCATAACTATTGCTGGATCATTCATAATAACACTCCTGTCATTAATACCATTCATAACCATTAACATCCAAAACATTAACTGCTATGATTTTGAAAACTTATATACCTCACTTCCTCTAGAAGAAATCTATACCAGTCTACTTGATCTACCAAAAACTTTTCCCTAATATACTCAATATCATGACTCTTGACAAATGGAAAACCTACCTAAAATGCACACTTTTTTTCATAACTACATCAAGTTTCAAAATCAACTTTTTAAACAAGTCAGAGGATTGCCAATGGGCTTACATTCCAGCACCTCGATCTGTAATATCTTTTTATTTGTCAAAGAATTTAACTTCCAAAAAAATCTACAACCACAAGAGTTAAATTACTACAAACACACCTACAGATTTATTGATGACCTTATTACAATTAATAATTTTGGTAAAATTGAAAACTCCGACATTTATCCGAATTGTCTTAAACTTAATAAAACTAATAATTCACAAAATAGCATAGACTTTCTAGATCTTCAAATCATTAACTACAAAAAAATTTTACTTTTTGACAAAACAAGAAACTTCAATTTCAATACTAACAAATTAATAAATTGGAACTCCAACATATCCAAAAAAGTAATTAACAATACTATAATTAATCAAATACAACGAATTAAAATTATATGCACAGATACAATAGATTTACAACGCGAAATTTTGATCCTTATCAAAATTCTCAAAAATAATCTAATTCCCTTTCAATTTATCAACCATTGCCTTAAAAGAGCAGGCGTTAAATACTCACTCTAAATCATTTAACTGATAGGGATATGATAATTTATTCCTAAACCTGAGAAGGCGGTATAAGTTGGATGACTGTCAGTTGAAAGATTTGTATATAGTGTAATTACTCAATTGTATATATTGTAAAAAGCTAATTGTCTTCAGACATATACTGTTACTAAAAAAATGGGCCTATTTCCTGCCTTTAGACTGTCTACTAGCTCTTGGACAGCGAAAATGCCTTTTTCCTTTCTTAAATTCTTAATCATTGCGACACGACAATTAGCCAGAAATTAATTAATTTTTCATTCACTAGTATTTTAAAAAAAATCTTAACAGACGGTCTCTCTCAGATAAGAACTCCACAAAATACATCCCTCAAGAATTCCAAGTCCCAACCCACTACCATAAATTACTTCACCCAAGTCTTACCGACTGATATAATTCAAAGCCCCTACTGCCGCTAAGAATTTTCGGACACCCTACACTTCTGAGTCAGACACGAAGAGAACACTTTGCCAACTCCCCCACTAGAAAGAATGTAAGTTACTTAATACCTTTCTGGCCTTTATATCTTCATGTACATTCACTGATCTTATTTATATTATTTTCTATTTTATTTTTATATTATTTTTATATATTTTTATTTCTCTTTGATTTGTTTTTACAAAGTTTTGCATTATTTATCTTTTTTATAATCTTCTATGTTTATTTCAACTTTACTTTGATTTCGATTTCATAATGACAATTTCCAATGTTTAATTTCTACAAATAATATAGTACTCAAATACATAAAATGATAGTGTCGGGGACGATTACTCGAGTTTTACAGGATTTCTCTACAGTAATTGATTTTTACTCCAAATTGAATTGACTAAAATGCTTCATGAGAATAAGTTCTTTGAGTAACAACTATTCGCGGAAATATTTGGCCTGACTAGAATTGCCGGTTTGGCTTTAACTTATAACTCGAGTAAAGACGAAACACTTTCGTATTTACGTATTTTTATCAATTATTGATCATTGAACGGGAGTTGGTTTGTTCCCCTTGAAAAGTCAACTAATTTCCGATCAATGACAATAATTACATGTTTTTAATTTTTACTTTTACAATTGTAATTTTATTCTTCGTGATGATTTAACTCCAGTCCCCGTTAAAACATTATTAACATTTTGCTTTCAAATTACTTCAAAACATCTTTCAAAATATAACTTACCAGTATGGATGCACACTTTTAAAATAATTCTACTTTAATTAAACTTAGGAGATAATATAATCAATTAATCAATACTGTTTAGGAAATAAATTATTATATATATATATATATATATATATATATAAGTTAAAGATAAGGTTTTGACACGTCAAACGCTAGAAATAGACAGATCATTTCTTGAGAAGGACCAAAATCTCAACAAAATCTGTATAGAAAGGACATTTAATTAACCAAGGAGATCGAATTAATTCATTAAAATTAACGAAAATTTATATTTTCTGTCATCATGGCACGCTATTGGCAAAAGGGATAATAGTTTTGTTGCATTCTCTGACTTCAAAATAGATAAAATATTTTATACGATGCATAATGAATAATTTTTAAATGATACTTAATATACATTATTTTAATTTGCAGACATTTCTGGTTAAAAATTTTAATGTTCATACTCTGGTGCTTCCTGAACACTGACAGTTCGACCTTCATTCGTTTGGTTTATGTGATTATGGCAAAGTCTCGAGGGTCATCGACCTAAGGGAAGGGATGCCTTCGTGGAGGACTTTCTAAGGGAAACTGACTAGTATACCCGTTACACACGGGGAAACCATGAAAACGACCATGCCAGACAGCCCGTTCGCAGGATTCAAACCTCGGCGCTCGAACTACCAGTGTTTAGAGACTTTACCGCTCGGCCGCTGATAGACCTCGAGGTTAGCACAAATCCAGGCAAAGGATTCTGCTGCGTGGATATTTTCCCTAAGTGTAATATGACATGTCGGCTAGTTTGCCGTTGAACGCTCTCCATTTCCTTACGCAGAGAGAGAGAGAGAGAGAGAGCCCTCATGTGCTTTGTCATATTGGTTAAACATCAAAAGAAATTAATGAACAATAAATAACTTTAACTGAATATCTGTGTAAACTTTATTCTACCGTTATATTGTCTTTGCCATTTTTAATGCTACAGGTTAAGTATAAACTTTTACATTCTCTTTTACAATCGTTTACTAACTGTTTAGTTGTGTGCACTTTGATGCCAAATAATGTTCACTGCAAATTAGAACACATAACACTATTAAGTTCCAAGTTACAATATTTAAAAGCAAAATTAGTATTAAATATCATTAAATAATCCTAAATTCTTCATAAAAAATCTGCATTTACGATAGACACATGAAATAAAAGCAGTTGAAAATAATTTAATATTGCAGCACATAATTCATAGTTATTATAATATATCACAAATCATCTGGAAACAATTTCATTATAAATTTTTATTGGGTAAGTCACCGTTAACAATGCACAGAAAATCATCAGTATGAATTTTATAACACATTTTTGCAAATTACACGAGTTCCACTTGAATGATTTAGCTAAAAGTAATGCGTTGCGTTATTTAATATTAGAATGACCGAAAACCAATCCGTGAAAAGGACAAAATTATGACAACAAAAACTGAGTATCCATTAATTCTGTTTTTGTAACATTAAAATTTATACCAGTAATATTATGGGGCTAAAAACACTGAACATCTCCATCTCTAATAAAATTTTAAGTTTTTTTTTTTTTTTAAAAATTGCAGACTACAAACCAACGTTTTAATACAAAAAGCTCCGTAGAAAATATAAAAAGGAAAAGAACAGTATGTGGGCTAACGGCTGGGATAGCAGATGATGCTACAGCACAAGGATTCTGCACCAGGGGGGGGGGTATTCCATAGTTTCAGGGAAGGAACGCAGTCAGCATTTTTTTACATTAATTATATAGTTTTAGGTTATGAATATAAAAACTGCTTTTATTCAAGTTTTGACATTTGTCAAAATTTTCTACACCTTTTTGTTGTTTAATTTATAAAAATATGATAAAAATTAAAGTAAATCGAAATAAATGTATATGTATTTTTAGAGTTTGGGAAATTAAAGGGGTAACAATGGTGAAAGGGGTGTATGAAGGGGGAAAAAAAGAATGAGAATTGCTGCTGTAGTACCTTTTAGGAGTTGTTTTTATTCATAGCAGTATGGAGCGTAATTGTACAAAATACTCAATATATAAAAATTATTTAATCATCCGTTAAAGACAAGTTGTTCAGTCTTAATAACAAATGAAGTGCACCGCTATTAATTTATGTTTTACATTGATTTTTATCTTAATACAAGAGCAATTAAAAAAAAAAAGTACATGCAACCGTGAAGTGAAGAGATACAGAGAAAGGAAGAGAACTTCTAATTCTGATTTGATTTAAATGAACTTATTATCCATATTAAATATAAGTAAATTGTTAATATTGGAATTTTCTGTTAATTATAATATGGGTTATTCCTCTTTCTTGTATATTCTTAGTTATTTTCACATTCACCGCGATTTTGAGTTGGCTGTTGACGTCGTACTCCGTTAATCGGGAGTTAATTCTATACCCAATTTTATAACGTCTAAAATTCTTCAGTTGAAGAACTAGTTGTTTTTTTCTGTTGAAAAGTAAATAAATAAATAAATAAACATCGTCTGATCTGCATATATTAATATTATGTTAATCGACTGAACACTAGTATAAATATTATTAATCCAAAAATTTCTAATAGGTGAGATACAGCTGCCAGAAATACACAGTATTTTACATATACTGATATACAAGGTGAGACAGGGGAAAAAAAAAAAAGCTAGACTAAGTGTGTAGCTCAAAAAGAGTGGAGTTGACAACAAATGTTTTGGTAACATCATGCCACACACCTCCTCCAAAGAATCTCTAAGATCTCTCTTAGAGATTCTTTGCCTCCTCTATCCATGAGGCCAGTTTCGACGTAACTGATCACGCCAGTTGGGAGCACTGCTTCATTGAGTGAACATGTGCAACTGCATTCCCAGGCGCTGAATTTTGTTGTTTGACTTCTGAATCAAGTTTCTTGTGAAACTTAAGAAATCAGCCACGGAGGAAACATTTCAAATGTTACCCGAGGCTTATGGAGATGAAACTTTGTCTCGTGCACGTGTGTTTGGACGGCATAAGCGGTTTTTTAGACGGAAAGACAGTGTGGAAGATGATTAACTCTCTGGGGGCCCTCAGCACGTTCGTCATGAATGAGTGAGTTCTCAGTGGTTAGACCGTTAATCAACACAATACTAAAAAGACTTCGTGAAAAAATTAGGAAAAAAAAAGACCACAATTGGGGAGTGATGAATGGCTGTTGCACCAGGATAATGTGCCCTCTCACACGGCCTTATCTGTGTCGAGCAGTTTCTGACCAGCAAAAACATTAGTGATGGAGCATCCTCCTTATTCACATGATTTGGCTCCATGCGACTTTTTTTTATTTCCTAAAATTAAATCTTGCTTAAAGGGAACCAATTTTACGACTGTTGAAGAGGTTCAGACAAAAACGGAGAATCTCCTGAAGGACCTTCCAAAAATCTCGTTCCAGAACTGTTACCAGCAATGGCAGCACCGAAAGTGTGTGAATACTGAAGGGGACTACTTTGAAGGTGATAATGGCACGGAGAACTGATTCTTTAAGTACAATGATTTATTGGACCAGTTTTTTTTTTTTGGTGTCACACCTTGTATATATACTATATATACATATATTTATCTTCTGAACAGCAAGTTCTAGAAATAATATACCATTTTGAACATCTTTGAAAATACGTTATTCATTCTTATTTATCAGAAGTGATTCAGTTACAAATATTTCTGTTCTAATTATTAAAAAAATGCATTTAATTGCATCATATTTATCTGTACATTGTACATTGCTTACCATTGAAAAACGTCATATAAACACGCATTGCACTTTTTCCTATAAAACACTACGCAGACAATCGTTCAATATAATTTATATCGCAATGCAGCACATGACTATGTATAAGAAACTATAAATTCATAGAAGCGGAAGTTTCTAAATATATTATTTACACTCTTATCACTTATTTACATATTTACAAATTTAGTCGGAAATTTTACACTGTTCTCCCAAACATTAAACTCAAGGCTAAAAGAAGGAAGAGAATGCATACATTCAAAGATAAACAAACAGTGCCATCAGACACATGATCAATCATAGTAGCAGTTGTGAAAGGAGACAAAGGAAGTTCAGAGAGCAACGTAGGACTATGCTGCTGAATTAAAGCTTGGAGTTTTTCTGCTTCTCGGACACAGGCTTCAACCTGAAGCTTTGTGGGACTGTCTGTTATAGCTATGACTAGTACAATAATATCAGATTCCAGACTCAAGTATGCAAACACTTCACACTCGGTCACCTTCACGTGTTCCCGTAATTTCTCCGCTATTGTCTGAATAACTACGGGATCTACATCTCGAATGGCTTCCACGGACCAGTCTGACAATTTTTGACTGTACAGTAATCGAAGTGCCGCACCTGAAAGGAAGAAAAAGAATGTATTCATATTTAAACGCCAAAAACTAATATTTAAAAATTTTTATTGTTCCTGATTAATGAGTCAAACAATGCTATTAACTATCAATTATACATAGTGTTCCTTTAAAAAAATAGAAGAATTCTTCAAAAGAAAATAATTTTGTTTCCCATTTTTCAAATAAAAATCAGTATCACTTTTTATAACAAAAGTTTAATAAACTCAACTAAATTAAAAATATAATTAGCTACATAGTGATTGGTTAATTAATTGTTACAGAAAAAGAAGAGGTTTCTGGTTTGCTTGAGAAGGGACTCATTCTCACAGAACTTTTATGGGAAATTTTTCTTGCATTCACGTTATTCTGGTTAAATAATAATAATAAAAAAGAAAATCCGAAAGGTTTTAAAATTACGCAAAGGGGCATTTTTTTAACATTTTGGGTGTTACCTTTGTTTATTAAATATCACATTCTTCGCACTTAAACCATAAAATTCAGTTCGAGAGCAATATCGCAAAGTAATTTTAAATTGAACATATCTTTAGAATTTCCGATACACAGTCTCACGCGTTGGAGATTAAATTGTTTTTTTCTGTACAACGTCCCCATCTCTCGCTTTGAAATCCTTGAGTTTGTTAGTCAAACATTCGTTAAAGTTTTACAAAATATGAAATCGATAATAAAACAAATTCCGAATTTCAAATTTGGGCTTTCATATGCCCATATTCGCAGTAGGATTACGTCATTCAAAACTGGATGACTCTAGATACCGTTGTTTTATCACAATGCAATAAACATACATGCATTTATGCAGATTCTTAATTATTTAACTAAAAAATTCTTTAATGTCTGATAAAAGATAATAAAACAAATTCTAAATTTGGGCTTTCAGATGCCCACATTCGGTGGAGGGTTACGTTATTCAAAATTTGATGTCTCTAGGTACCATTGTTTTATCACAATGCGAGAAGCATACTACATACATTTATGCAGATTCTTCATTATTTAATTTCTTTAAATATAATACAAGGCGATAATATTTAGTAGCAACACTTCAACAAAAAGTAATTCGCCATTTATAGTGAATCGACGCAAAATGCCAAAACGAAATTAATAATCTTTGTGGGCTTACGCCCTTTGGGCTAAAAAAAAAAATCCACATACAACCTGACCACTCATCGGTAACTGAACTCAGAATGATCCACCATTGTTAAGTAAGTTGATACATGTACCCACTAGTTGGTCTGAAGTTAGTTAAAGAAGAATTTAAAATGTTATTCCGTGGGACAATACCATAGTTTTGCATATGAAAGTAACTTTTACTTGATAACAGATGTAGCAATGTATTTTAATTTGATAGCCTAATTTATTTACCGCAGATTGGACAGCAGCCTCCAGGAGGAAAAACTTTGGTACAATGTTCAGATGGAAGAGGAGCACATTTGATTCCACCACACCTAGAATCTTTTCCATCTGAAAAAGAACATAAAAATATAAAAATCAAGTTTTAGTTTGCAAATAATTTTGCAATTAATCCTAAATTCTTTTTATATTTGACAGTATTGATTATTAAATAATTTTCGGAAAATTAAAATCCATTTAAAATATGAACCAATCATCTGAATTATATACTTTAGAATACTAAAACAGAAGTTTAGCTTCTGTAGTATAGGAAATAATTATATGTTTCATATATGCCTTATAGGAAATACTGTTTTCTCTACATATAATAAAAGAAAGAGTCTGTCTGTGTGTGTGTTCTTTCGTTTCCGCTGCGCGTAAGCTAATAAACCCACGGCTACGAAATTTGCTACATAGGTGCATCCAGACAAGAGCGAGTGCACCTCGAAGCGAATTTTTTGAAATTCGAATTCGAAGTTTTTTTATTTTATGTTTTGTGACGAAATCGCGTCATTTTGAGACATAATGGGCTATAGGAAAGGGAGATTTTACTCTACACACTCCATTTTCACATCGTCATGAAACGCAAGCACTTAGCTATTTTATGAACTTAAAATAAATTGTTTCAATAAATCGATTCAATACGAATTTGTTTAACAAAGGGAGCTTAACACATTTTCAACGGGATTTTTTCTAAAAAAGTTTATTTTTAAAAATGTACAGTTTATTTTTCTTTGATTTTTGTACACATTAAACTTTCATCCTTGCTACTGCTTTTACAAAAGGAATTTTGGAAAAATGATAATATTTTGTATTTTAAAAAAAGTTTTTAAATGAAGCTTCCAACTACACTTCTAACATCTCACATCTTTAAAAATGTGATTTTGGCAACAATTTTCCTGTCTTGTTGTTGTTGACAGATTTTTGATGAAATCACATCATTTTGAATAGTTTCATTCTTTTATAAATATTAGTTTGGCAACAGTTTTCCATCGTATTTCTTATGTCACTGTTTTTAAGAGATTGTCATATTTCATTGTCATTTTTTTATGTACATTTTTATCGATTTTTTTTTTTTTTTGATAAAGTTGTTTCTGCAGAGTAAAATTCTGCGTGGAATTTTTTGTTTTTTGAGTTTCTTTCATGTTATTTTTTGCTTATTTCACTATTTGTAAGATATTGAAAAGTTTTGCACGATTTTTTTTCCTTCAACGGAAAGTTGGTTAATTTTTTTTATTAGGAAAACTAATATATTTGTTGACAGTCTCGTACAAAAAGCACTAACTATTTGTATTAAGGGATATAGTTTAGTTCATTGTAATTTTTTCTCTTGAAAATATAAGATAAAATATCATTAATTGTACTTTGCTTTTCTGATTTTTTTTTTTTTTTTTTTTTTTTTTGTATTCTTTTATGTTATTGCTCATTTCACTGTTTTTAAGATATTGAAAAGTTTTGAGTGATTGGTTTAGGAAACAAAGTTCTTAACCTCCTTTATACCATTTGAGTTCTGAAGTTTTTGCAAAGGGAAGTTGGTTAATTTATTTAGTAGGATAATTAATATTTGTATTAAGGGATATTGCTTATTTCATTGTAATTTTGTTATACGTAATAACTTTTTTTATGAAGTTTTGTGACGAAATCGCGTCATTTTGAGACATAATGGGCTATAGGAAAGGGAGATTTTACTCTACACACTCCATTTTCACATCGTCATGAAACGCAAGCACTTAGCTATTTTATGAACTTAAAATAAATTGTTTCAATAAATCGATTCAATACGAATTTGTTTAACAAAGGGAGCTAACACATTTCAACGGATTTTTTCTAAAAAAGTTTTTTTTTAATGTACAGTTTATTTTTCTTTGATTTTTTGTACACATTAAACTTTCATCCTTGCTACTTGCTTTTACAAAAGGATTTTGGAAAAATGATAATATTTTGTATTTTAAAAAAAGTTTTTAAATGAGCTTCCAACTACACTTCTAACATCTCACATCTCACATCTTTAAAAATGGATTTTGGCAACAATTTTCCTGTCTTGTTGTTGTTGACAGATTTTTGATGAAATCACATCATTTTGAATAGTTTCATTCTTTTATAAATATTAGTTTGGCAACAGTTTTCCATCGTATTTCTTATGTCACTGTTTTTAAGAGATTGTCATATTTCATTGTCATTTTTTTATGTACATTTTTATCGATTTTTTTTTTTTTTGATAAAGTTGTTCTGCAGAGTAAAATTCTGCGTGGAATTTTTTGGTTTTTGAGTTTCTTTCATGTTATTTTTTGCTTATTTCACTATTTGTAAGATATTGAAAAGTTTTGCACGATTTTTTTTCCTTCAACGGAAAGTTGGTTATTTTTTTTATTAGGAAACTAATATATTTGTTGACAGTCTCGTAACAAAAAGCACTAACTATTTGTATTAAGGATATAGTTTAGTTCATTGTAATTTTTTTCTCTTGAAATATAAGATAAAATATCATTAATTGTACTTTGCTTTCTGATTTTTTTTTTTTTTTTTTTGTATTCTTTTTATGTTATTGCTCATTTCACTTTTTTAAGATATTGAAAAGTTTTGAGTGAATTGGTTTAGGAAACAAAGTTCTAACCTCCTTTATACCATTTGAGTTCTGAAGTTTTTGCAAAGGGAAGTTGGTTAATTTTATTAGTAGGATAATTAATATTTGTATTAAGGGATATGCTTATTTCATTGTAATTTTGTTATACGTAATAACTTTTTTTATGAAGTTGTTCTGCAGAGTAAAATTCTACGAAGTTTTCAAATTTAATGTTTGGTGCCCTTCAGCCATTTTTCCGGTACATTTGAAAGCCAGACGAAGGCTGGCAGCGAAGCTGCCAGTAAAAAATAAAACTGTAATTTTTTAACTTTCTATTTTATAATCCAAGACATTAAAAATGAATTTTGTGTACGAGGAATTCAGATTCATCTAAACTTCCTGGGATGTGGTACTGAATAATTAAATAAACTTTTTAAAATTTTGGAAATGTTATAAATATTTAAAAATACAATTTTCTGAAACATCATCATACCTCACAGTACAGTTACAGTAGACCTACTAGTTCAAGAAGTGCTTCAGAAATTAAAATTACAAAACATAAAATCTTATATTTCAAATAAGCTGTCCAAAAGGGCAAAGCTAACTGTAGAAAAATTTGCTACCATATCATTTCACCGCAAATTAAGGCCACCTGGAGATATGTGCAATTATTTATTAAAGAAAAGCCAATTATTCAAGAAGTAGTTATGCCGTTATTTTACTATGCTTTTGTACGAGACTGTGAACAAATATTATCCTTATGTGCCACTTAGTGGCACGGCGGTTGGGGAGTCGGCCGCACTAGTTCTGGACTTAGGTTTGAGTTCAGGAGTAGGCGTGGATGTTTTTAATTTTATAGCGTCTTTCTTTGCAGCACGCTTACTTTAAATACTAGTACTGTTGAGCCAAAAGTCTTCTCCAGAGGTTGATGGTAGGAGAAGAGGTGAGGCAGACTCTTGGATCTGTCCACCTTGGAGATCTCCGTGAAAACTGATACAGAGCTCTCTTTCTGCGTTCTTTAAAATTTTTGTATTTGTGTTACGATGCTACCACATCGTCTGCGAGACTATCTGCTCAGTCGCAAAGCGTTACCATGGTTACCAGTTTTTCTTAATCATTGTTATTGTTAAAAATAAATGAAAATGGTTGTTCTAAAGATTTGAAGTTGTGTTTTAATTGCTTATTAGGACCACATTTTTGATTGAACAAATGGCAATGTACTCCGTGATGAGACGACTTAATATCCGATGGCTTGTGGGCATTACAGATGAATGCATTAAATTGCAAGAGTACGATCATTTGAATTAATAACAACAATCCTTAAGTGGCAATGCTTTCTGTTTTGCCAGGACACGAAATAAACGAACGGAAAATAATTAATACCTCGAATATGTTTTCTCCTTCGATGTGTTTAAAAAATAATTTTAAATTTATATGCTGAATAGTTTTAATTTCCCTATACTTACATTTGGATCCGACAGCAGCACAAGCTCCCATATAATCTACAGATACTCTTTCAGCCCATGCAGCACATTCGCTGGCATAAGTCTCTCCGTTGTGGCCGCAAACTAAACCACTACCTCTGCAGTGAGGCTGAAAATGATTTAAAAAAATGATATCATAACCAATTTATAACATAATACATTAATTCCAAAGTTAGTGCTTTTATATCTTTTGCAATTTACAGTTTCCATCTGCTGACATTATTTCAACTACTATAAAATTATTAATAATGATTTATGATACTTACATATTATCCCGTCGGCAGTAAAACTGTCGCCAATCAGAGGAATTTAGTACTGGTTGTGGATATGCATGATGTAATAACACACTCATAACATCTGCGCTTTTGTTTGATATAACCCAATTCATTCTCAATAATTTATTGTTTTTATGACTAAGGGTATAAATTAACTGATTTTACTATATTTTCTACTTGCATTAAAATAATAATAATAATAATAAGTCTGAAAGGCTTCATATTTTAACGGTCACCCAAAAGGTTTGTTAAGGTTTTTTACGCGCTCGCTAAGCTCGCAGTCTACCAGTCTGCTGTTACTCTAACTCCTACTAACCTATTTTTTTGTCTTTTTAGCTTTCTTATTAAGCATCATTTTATTCGCACTTACATTATATACAATTCAACAGTAAAATTAGAAAAATTGGTACTTGTCCGTTTCGCCGGCGCAAATCTCGCCAAGCAGACTTTGTTGGCGACAACATACAGTATACACATAAAAAATATTAACAAATGTTAGGTCTAAGAATTTTTTATTCTGAAGGCATAAGCATTTTAATATGTTTAAAATTTTGTAAAAGACAATAAATAAAGACAATAAATTTGTAAAAAGACATTAATTTAAGAATTTACTATGCTTTCATAGTTCAACATCCTGATTCGCCGGTTCATATCATGTGACCCCAAGTAATCTCATCTTACGTAAACTACGTTACAAAAATTTAATTCTCTCAGTAATTATCTACATTAATTTCAAGTTAAATCTTAATTTGGAATACAAGTTTAGATGCAAGAATTATTTCACTTCGTACAAATAGCTTACTCAAAAATTATGTAAAACCGCAGTGCTTTACTTCGCTAGTGTATTCTCATTAGAATTGATGAATTTAACCCTTGATTTTGCCTTTTCGATATTTTCGCTTTCGGGTGAGCGGTTTGATTGCATCCTAATTCACTTAATTACCGCGAATGTTCCATCTTAGGGCATAAAATTTAGCTATCTTGTAAAAATTCTATGTAATTGTATGCCAGTATTGAAAGACAATCAATCTGATAAGAAATGGCTGCGACTTGTTTCCAAAATGAGGTGTAAAAGGTTACCAGCAAAGATATTCCGTTTGGCATCAGTTGTACCATTATTGGCGACTTTATCAATTGCGCTGGCAAAACGGAAAAGTACCGAAAAGTTTTCAAAGCAGCATAGCAGTGTACGTTTAGAATTGCCGATGCAGCGTCAAAAGTTGACATACATTTTTCTATTGTTTTCAGTCTCTTCTCAGTTTGTCATATCAGTGTTCACTTTTCTTACCAAGATGGATTTACAAAACCTTTTTTTTTTTTTTTTTTTTTTTTTTTTTTTTTGTGTCTTCTTGTTATTAATGCTTTGTGTAGTAAATTTACTTTATTTAGATGTCACGTTCTTGACACTTACGTCACATAAAATTCGATTCAGCAGCAAAATCGCAAAATATTTAGAAACAGCATATCTTTACCGATAGACAGTCTCGCGCGCTGGAGATAAAAATGTTTTATTCCGTACAGTATTGCCGCTGCTAGCTTTGAAATCATTCGGTTTGTTAACCAAAATTTCAAAGTTTTACAAAATATGAATCCACTCCTCCCCAAATGGCGGGCACTAGACGTTTATAGGCTTTGCCACTGCTAAAGCCAGAAGTGTAGTTTCTTTATTATGGAGGCACCTAATAGGTAGGCCACCGGTGCCTTCTATGAAGGAACAGACAAATTACATTCCATGCCTTCGCCGGAATTTGAACTTGGGCCCTTCGGTACGGCAATCACTAATACCTTTACTGTCTGGGCGGCATTAAATATGAAATATAATATTCGAAATTCAAAATTTTACAGGACATATGTTAAGGTGGAGGACTACGTAATTCAAAATTTGATGGCTCTAGCTACATTTGTTTTTTCAAAATGTGGCACATACATTCATGCAGATTCTTCATTATTTAGTTCTTTTAAATATAACACGGGGCGATAATATTTGGTGGCAACAATCTGAAAATTGATACAACGCATTTAAGTGTTTCTACGCAAAATGCCGTTTCGAGACTAATAGCCTATTCAGGGCTAACGTCCCTTTTGAGGTAAAAAGGAATTAAATTTGATACCTGCCACCTACAGAACAGCAAGCAGATTTTTTTTTCCTCTACCATTAAAAAAGCGTGTATTGATGGGCACTATACCGTCAGCTGAGTATGACCGACAAAACAATAATAAACTGGAACAATTACCTGCAGGAAGTTTGTGCCCTTATCATTTTAAACAGAATTTCCAGTAAAATAGGAGGCCCTAGCAACATAGTAGAAATCGATGAAACCCATTTTACGAGGCGCAAAAGCGTAGCGGTTTGAATACCGATTGTTAATTAAATAATATAATAATAGTAATAAAAAAGCTTTAGTACTTTCAGAATTTCGTAGGAATGATTGGCGCAACTTTGGCGGGAATTCCACCGGCTTTCATACTTCGATGGCAGCCAGCTTTCACGGTCGACCGAGATAATACGTAAGAATACCTAATTTAGTAAGTAAATTAACTACTAGTATATTATAAATTTTTGTTACAAATATTTTACAGTTTAGTAATTTATTGTTAAAAATATTGAAAATTTATGTAATAATTAATTGGTTTGGCTTATATGATTATGGCAAAGCACTCGAGGGCTCTGCCTAAGGGGAGGGATAGCCTAAGAGGACTTTCTAAGCGAAAGTGGCTTATATACGCGTTGCACATGACGAAAACCATGAAAACGCCCACGCAGCCAGGCTCGTTCATCAGGATTGGAGCCCAAGACCGAACTGTGTTCAGCTATTTTGCGGCCCGGCCGCTATTGGATTATACCCTTGTAATTATTAGAAATTTCACACTCAAAATTAATTTATGAATTAATTAAATTATGAATATAATGATAATTTACAGAAAATAATATTTCGTTTCTTACAGATATCAGATTTGTCTTCTTTACAGGCGCAGTTAACTTATCTGACGCTTTCAGGAACTCTTTTTTCAATAAAAATCACCCACTTTCAATTGCCCCCAAAATATATTTTACACCGAAAATAAAATTTTAATAAATATAAGCATAAAAATTTATTTTAAATACGATTTTATATGACTTAGATTCTCTGCTTGTTTGTATCAAATCTTAAAATGAATTTTTAACTCCGTTCTACAGAACTGGTTTCTTTGAAAGTTTGTCCACATACATATTAACACAATTGTGTAATTTAAGTTGAGAAAAAACAGCTAGAAGTTGATGGTCTTGGTTATAACTTCTGTAGTGAGAAATTAAACTGAGTATTCAAACTAAGGGTTAACTTCACAATCATTTTAAACAATTATCACTTTTAACAATTATTTAACTGTTAAAGAAACACAAGCCAAATTACAATTCAAATAAAAATTTCTTTCTAGTGGATTACAGTTGAAATATTAATAAATATCTATCTTATAAACAATATTAAAAGATAAGGTTATTGCTCAGGTTACCAAGATTCAATTATTTACAGAACGGAGTTGTAAATTCGAAATTAAACACTTGGTCGCTACAGCATCTCCAAACTTGGAGAGCACTTACGAAGGGGCAGCGATTAACTAATTATAGACGTTCTTGAACATAACAGAAAGTAATACTTAGTAAACTACAGCGGTGATGTGATGAAAGCTCCAATAATTTTATGGTTAAGGCTGGCAACCTACATTTAATCAGTCTTAACCGCAAAACAATTGTTTATAGTTAAAAGAGAAAAACTTAAACTATGCCACATGCTATTAAATTTGCAAAATCTTTTAATTTAAGAGAATTTTGAGACACGAGCCAAGATGGGCAGGTAGGATTTAATTCAAGTTTAACCAAAGTAAAACTTCAGAAAAATTGTTTCAAAGTGACATTAAAATAGAACAATAATTTCAATAAACGTTCTTTTATGAAAATGTGGAATCTGATGATAAAATTCGGATTTTGTAATCGAAATCACTACCTCAAAATACTAGAAAACCACTAGATATTTTTCAGTAACTTAATCATTGTCGATCAATGTAATAAATAGGAAACTATAATTGTTTTCTTCTTACCATGCATTTTCCATAATAACCGAGTGATTTTCTCCTTTGCAACATCCAACAAATGTTTGGGTGCTCTACGTTGTCTGTATCACATACTGGACTCTTTGGTTGTTGATTGCAGTTGTGCTGCATATTAACTAAAGCCAAGATAGAATTTAAATTAATTCTAATTTCTCAACTAAATTTGAGAATACCTCTATAAATTACAAAATTACTGAACAAAAATTGCATTTAAAATCATGAAACAGATTGAAAGCTATTTTGTTTGCTCACCACAATCGTATTGCTTGCAACTCCTATGTCTGATACTTATGCAAACTCTTTTCTTCGGAACACACCTGTAAAAAAATTGAAATACGTATACCGTCCTTAATTAAATAAAATAGCAGATATAAGACATTTATTTCATACCAAAATTATCATTTATTTACCTAATGATAAATAGTTATGAGACATATTGTCATAAATATTATCAGGTGTTTGCTTTTGGAATAATTAAGTTACTAAGCAGTGACTCTCTTATGCTTCTGTGCATTTTATCAGTACATCAGGAGATGGTATTGTTTTCATTTAACAGTTTATGTCTGCTACAAGTAAGGAATCAGGAATTGTTGCCAACTGATGAAACCTAAGACTTTTCATTTATTTCTCATGTTACAAACGTGCGTAGCTCATCAGCCTAACACAGTAGATGATTTAAAAAGCAGTTTTGCTTCTTAATAATATTTTGTAGACGTATACTTTGTTTTACATCACAAGAATAATACATAAAAAATTTAAATTAACATAATGCAGTACTAGATACAATATGCCCACTGCAAAATTTTAATTTTTGTATACTTTACTATCTGCATTAAAAATAATACGTACTGTTAATAGTAACATTTTGCGACAAGAAGAAAATTGTTGATTTCTGTCTATAAAGTTGTTTAAATTTCATACGGACGGTAATCATACGGTAATATATTTTTTAAACCCGAATGCACTTTTTAATATTTTGATATTTCTAGTATTTTGTATTCAAAAGACAACTAGAGAAAAACTGAAGATATCAATATGAAAATTTTGTTTTGGGGTTCTGTCTTATTTTAGTTTAATATTAAGATTTAATTTTATCAGTAGGTAATAGCAAGTATTATTTATTTATTTATTTCATGGTAAAATGGCCTCTGATGGCTTGGACTGTAATCTGAAGTTTTTGAAATGAAGAATGTTTTTAATGTGATTTTACGTTTTCAAAATGAAAAATATTTTTAGTTTAATTTGTGCAAACTCATAATATTTTGCCGTGCTTTCTAGAGCAGTTTTGAGTGTCGATGAGTCTACAGTAATGTATCATGTATACAAATATCATTGATTATGTATATTACATCGAGTTTCACTAAAGAAAAAAAAAAAAGGATAAAAATATAGAGATAAAAAATAAGAAAAAAGATAAAGATAAAAAATTAAGAATCGTTAGAAATATTTTAATAAAAACAAGAAAATTTTTCATGAAAGATTTAAATGTTTAATTTAATTCTATTCTTTTTTACTGTGAACAAATATGGGTTACTTAACAATAGTACTTAAGAAACGATAACTGAATGCTTAGCATACTAACCTGTGATATGGATGACACGAATTAGGACTACACGGATCGGACTCGTAACACGCACCAAATTCAAATTGATCATCTGTGAGTCCCACACATCTGAAAACAATGAAATATGCTAAATTTACATTTTACAGACTGTTTTTTTAAATATAAATAATGACTTATTCTATTAAATTCATTAGTATAATTGACTAAACTGATTAAATAAAATAAACACAATATTTATTTTAAAATGTTTTAAAAAAGTGTTTTTCGTGAGATGCGTAATTATATGACCAAATAATTTATTAAGGTGTAATATTTCCTAATTACCTGAGCAATATTTTTAATAAAACTTTAAGAAATATTTTTAGTTAAAGTATTAAAGTGTCTCATAACGTTGCTCAATAATTATAACAATAATATCATACCTTGTCTCAAAAATCAAATAAAGTAGAAGAGTTTCTGGGAGAAGAATATTGAAATTGTATGACAGGATAATCCTAAAATTATAGAAATTTGTCCGCAGGAAGAACTGTAATTTTGATTAGTTTTTGTTTTTCTTGAAAATTGTTATTTTGCTAAAAACTGCAGAAACATATAAATTCATTATGCCTGTTTAATTACAAAAGCATTTTCTGTTTCTACATTATATAAAGAATTAGTTCATGGGTGTTTTCGTGGTTTTCCCCATGTGTAACGTGTATACGAGCCAGTTTCCCTTAGAAAGTCCTCCACGAAGGCATCCCTCCCCTTAGGCAGATAGCCCCAGTGAGCTTTGCCATAATTAAATACACCACCAAAATAAAGAATTAGTTGAAGCGGTCATACGAAAATAATTCTGAGTTTCATAAGTTATGTGCTAAAAAGTATCATTACCCATATTATTACCCAACCAAGTAGTTCCCATATGCTTGTCAAAAAACCAAATAATCAATTCCGATCCAGTCCCAATAACTGCATATTAATATATTTTAAATTATTACAGTTCAGTTTTATATTCAATATATTAAAAGAAAAGAATAAATTCGTTATAAATACATGTATTGCATTAAATTTATTTAAAAAATAATTTGGCTGTACTAATATTTGGTTACACTAAAACGAAATAATGATCGCTAAGAATGATTTATTCTTTGTTGCATGCTAAAAAAATATTTTAAAAGAATGTTATCGAATAATTCGTAAAGTAAAACAGAAATTCATACCTTGCTAGGCAAGCACTGGGATAAGTTTTCCCATTTGCTCCACAAACTGGTACATAGTGGTCCTGGCAATTGCATGGTAAACCTTTTTATAAAAAGAAAAGAAACTTTATTAATTTTCCAATAAGATATTTTAGGACAATAAATATGTAAAACTTACAATAAATATGTAAGATATAAAAGAAAATTACTAACGTAATAGTCCTTTTAATTCTTGATTTTAATTTGGCTACGTTCCCTTCCTGAAATCGAAACTGCGTCACTTTAAAACTAATTCGCATTTATGTCATCTGCAATGCGCTAAGCTTTTGGCCAATGGCAGCCCAATATTTAAAAAAAGGATTCAACTCTATAATTACCCCTTTTAATATAAACACTGTGCTGGACTAATTTTCGAAGTGTCGATTTTTTTCACTTGAATCACTTCATATAGAATAGATCACTTCATATTAAATACAGCAAGAGCGATGTTTCAAATTCATGCAGAATAAAATAAAATTAGCTTCCTAACAAAGCTTCAATCCTTGGCGTTAATACACTTAAATTTTGTAGATAAACTGCACTTTAAGACAGAGCTCATTCTGCACAGATGAAGGCCTTCAGGGAGGGATTTCGGAGATGATGACTTTCGGGTAGATGATGACTTGAGAGGATTTGAAGAAACCAGTGTGGATGCGTGGGCGAGAAGACATCAATTATTATTTAGTCATATTTTTATCATAATTATTTTTAGATGGTTATAGATGTTGCTGGCATCTGTGCAGAATGAGCTCTATTGAATGAGCTATTTTTAGATGGTTATAGATGACAGGATGTATATTAGACGGATGGAATTTGGGAATCAAAAGTAAATATAGAATCCCCATACAATTTTATTTCTTGGTGAATAATTTTTGAAGACACTTATTTTCTTTTATGCATACCTATAGGTGCGGCAAGCATTCCACAATCCTATATACAATTTATCACATTTCGAGATAATATACGGTGCATCGAAGCAAGGAAACACGCCCTAACAGGGAAAGAGAAAGTAGAAAAGTTATTGCGCATTTCAGCGAAAGAGTATTCATAGAGTTCAATCCTTTGTATAAATTTTGGACTGCGATTGCACAAGAGCTTGCCGCAATTTAGATGACACAATCCTGATTAGTTTTCAAGTGACGCACTTTAGATTACACGATGGGGGCGTAAGCAAATTAAAATCAGGAATTAAAAGGACTATTAAGTTAGTATTTTTTTTTTTTTTTTTTTTTTTCGTATTTTGCATCCTATGTATTATAACTACTTTTGGTCTCCAAATTCCATCCGTCAAGTACGTATCCTATCTGTATGCCAGCGACATATCCATCTGGGCCATAACTAAAGAAAAATTGGTGTCCTCTCTCCAACGCACCCTAAAATATCGTATCTTCAAATCCTCAAGTCATCATTTAGAAAACAGTCACACGCACCCATATATACGTATATATGTATTTATAATAATGAATAACTACAAAGTAAAAAAAAACAGCTCAAAACCTAATCCAACTGCATGCTGACAGCAGCAACAAGTGGTAGGAACAATAAAAGATAAATTACATTAATACATTTAAAATGCATCTCATATTCATTTCGGAATGAACCATATGCAAAATTAAAAAAACAGAAGCACAGTAGCAGATTGCATGAATGAGTGCGAAAAGAGTTTAGCATGAAAAAGAAAAAAATAATTTTCATCTTTCATTGTATTACCAATCAAGGGGTTGGTGCAACGAAAAAAGTAAATACATCAACCTGTTTCAAAACTAACAAAGAAATAAATTAGAGTTAAATACTTGAAATAATTTCAGATAATGTATGAAAACTTATGTATCTATCCAAATTTTACATGGATTAGCTTATTTTTGAACAAGTTATTGCTGCTTTTATGAATTTTCTTTAATTTTTTAAAATTAGTGTATTATTACTGGCCATCAGGGCACAGTTAGGCTTAAGACAGCTGTGAGATTTCTGCTTTTCTATTCTCATCAGTTACTTCATAGTATATGTAGAGTCATATATTCAGTGCGAAATTCATACTGACAATCCTTTAAAAACTCGTTTCTGTTAATATAATATTTGATTCTAGTTTTTATATACCTATTACATGCTCCACCCTTAGGCGCTACGCGGCAAGGGAGAGATGCCCCGTGAAGGTCTTTTTAAGAGAAACTGGTTCCTACCCACGCTTCACATTGGGGAAAATCACGAAATCGCCCTTGCAGCTAGTCCGTTTGCCGGGAGTCGAACTACCAGTGTTCAGCGGCTTTGACCTCTCAGCCATTGTTGGGCATTTGATTGTAGTGATGATAAGTTTTTCATATATTTTACCTTAATATGGACAAGACAACAACAACAAACAACAAGAGCAGAAAGAAGGCAGAGGACGAAATCTTAATCAAATTTCGATTTCGATATAATTTAAATGTCAAATTAATAGCATGATAAAATTACCATTGGCTAGTTCAATTTCAGATTACAAAACCATCTAAAACTATGCATAACCAGTCATATGATGGCCAATGATTTTGAAATGAGATGTTTATTATAAGCAATTACTACATTTAAAACAAAAAGGGATAACACATGCATATGCCTACTAATCATCCACAATAAAACTTTATATGGTTCAATCAACAGGATTCAAACAATTATTAAATTCTTTCAAAGAGCCTTTCTCATATTTAGTAGATTAGAACTCCTTTTTATGATACACTTGGAAATCCACGCCGACCGTTAGACATAATGTTACAGGCTAATGGCAGAGGATAAATGGTTGAGAGCTACACAGTAAAAGATTTTATTTGGGATATCATAATGTTTTAAATTTGCCATGTATATTGTCATTAAAAAAAAAGGAGATAGTGTTGAGAGTAACAACTTAATGTTACACTGGATTCTATCAGTGCCTATTAAACGTGGCACTAATACGTATAAAATGAGTCTAAATCTGTCAGTATATTTTAAGCTGATAAGATTTATTGACATTGATCTTACCTGATCCACATTGCTTTGGCGAGCAAGTAACCTCTCCATCATAGCAGAAACATGTTTTGCAACCGGATGTGAACAACGTATTATGATCTAAAATTAAAACGAAAGAACAGAACAATTAAAAAAAAAAAAAAAAAAAAAAAACTGGCACTAAGCTTATGTTTCCGGGTTAGAAAATGAATTAAATTATACATTGCCTCACAACGGTGGTCTATATATTGACCATAAGAAATCATTAACCTGCAAATTTGGGAACAATTTTATGCCGTCAAATTTGGCGAGAAATCACCAAATGTCGCCAAATGTGGAGATCATTTGGCGACATTTGTGTCCGATCCCTGTATGCACTGTAACTGTAATTGATGCCTATATGTAACTGTAGCCGTTCCCGGCCCTTATATGTACTTTTAACCATATATGCCTTCCAGTAATTTCGAAAAATGGGAAATTTCTTAGCGGCAGGAAGGGGAACTATATAGGAGTGGAGAGAGCATCGGTTCTCAGTGCTTTTTTTAGCTCAGAGTTAGCTTCGGAGTATTGAGAGATCTCCGTACGAACTTTGTCTTTTGTTTCGTTTTGCATTGTGCTGTGTTTAATATTCTGAGTAGTTTAAAGAGTAACTACTGATTGTGCTCTGTGATAGAAGAGCTGTGCAAGTACTTTTGTGAAAAGTTCCAGAATTGAGAAGTGCTTCTTTTGGGAAAATAAATTTCATTAAGCTATCATCATTAAGCTATCGGTTCTGTGTGCATTCAGTCTATTACGAATCCGCACGCAACAATATGCTATATGTGAAATTTAAATGTGTTGATTATTTAATTAAATAAAAAGCGATCTGTAATTATCTAACTAAATAAAGTGCGATCTGGAACTTCTGCCGGAATGGTTGGCGCAAGTTTGACGGGATTTCCGCCAACTTTTACGGTCGACGGAACATATGGAAGTACACTGCGCAAAATAAAAATAAATAAATAAATAAATAAAAAGGGTGGGACAGTTCTATTTTCTTGTTCTATTAGACCGATTGTCGAAATTCAACTTGCGTTTTTCATGTCTCGAAAGCGCAACTTAGGATATGTATTAGTTTTATACGTAGCATTGTTCTAATATAGGTATTTTGACACAAAATTGGACCTTTTTTTGAAACGACATGCCAATTTTTTTCCATATTTCAATTCTACGACTCAAATTACGCCAAACTATTAAATTTTGTAAAAATCGTACGAGTAGGTTCTAAAAATTAGCTCTCAAAATTTAAGCTCGTCAATGTTAATTGAGTCTGGTATATATTTATTAATTTCTCTTTTTTTTTTTTTTTTTTTTTTATTTTTACTAAACTTATTTGATTCTTCCTTCCACATTTCGAAATTTACGTTCATTCCAAATAAAATTCACCCATTTTTTATGATTTATTTTTAAAATTTGTATTTTTAAATAATTTTTTTAAACATTTTCCAAAAATGTTTTGAATTATAATATACAAAATTTTTACCCTCATGTTAAAGTAGACGTATTTCAAAGCATACCTGCAAAAAATTACAATTTTTTATTAAAAATTTCTGAAGATATACGTTAATTTATATATCGGCGCGTTTTGAAATTGGGCATATTTGTTGAAAGCGATTAAATATCTAATGTGGTTTAGAAACTTTGTTAAAATTATTTGAAAGTAGGAACGATGTGACTTTTTCCCTCTCATGCACAATGTAAAAAAGATAGAAACGAGATGCCTTTTTTTCCGCTCTGGCATAATGGAAGGGGAAAGAAAAATAGGTTGCCATATATTAAGAAGTTCGCCAAGTGAATTATTATTGGCGCAACCTGAAAAGAATTGCGCTAAAATAAATTTTTGAATTTCTCCGTAAATTTCGCACCACATTTTATAAAATCTAATATCTAGGCATAATTTGAGTCGTAGAATCGAAATATGAAAAAGAATAGGTATGTTATTTCAGAAAAGTCCGATTTTTTATCATAATACCTATGTTAGAACAATGCTATATATAAATCTAATATATATCCTAAGTCGCGCTTTCGAGACATGAAAAACGCAATTTGAATTTTTTCAATCGGCCCGGTAGGTAGGTAGGTAGGTGACGGAAGACGGGGACGCCTGGTGGCTACCAGAGATAAACAGGCATGTGTCACTCGCCTTCCACTATCTAATGGCAACAACTCCCTGTTGCCTCAAGAGTCCACACCGGGAGCATATTAAGAGCGCAGGAGTTTACATGGCCAAAAAGGGGCGACTTATTAACATCGGTAGATCGGCCCGGTAGAAAGAAAGATATAGAACTGACCGCCTTTTCTTTCTTTCTTTTTCTTTTCTTTTATTTATTTTTTTTTTTTCGCAGTGTACCTTTTGTTTAAATATTCTACTTAAATGATATATTTTATGATGATATAGCGGTTTAACAAGATAAAATTTAGTTATATAATAATCATACTCACTGTATCTTTTTCCATCGTGCCAGCAATGATCAGTACTTAAACACGGTTGCGTCATACAGTCTTCTAAAACATTTTCATTATTGCAGTAACAAACCATATGACAACGAGGACCGTGCGTGTTGCTTGGAATACGAACGTGAGTATTCCGTGGTACCAACAGCTGTGACATATCGCCCAGCCTGCATCCTGAAACAGTGTGACAAAAAATTTTGATACATAAAAACACACAGTGAATATGAATTCACAAACTACATAATCACAATACATATACACTTCAAAATTTTATTACCTACCTCCTCACATACGAGTAGTTGAGACAAAAGTTTTTAAAAGATTATGAAAGTTTCATTTATTTTTTTGTTTCCAAATATCTACGCAAAATTAATAAAGGGGGGGGAAGGGATTTACTGAAAAATGGTATACTTATCTCTGTGATTTGAAAACAAGTTGTTGAGGAATTCTACAAAAAAATTCGGTTGTTGGGACTTGTAAAATTTGTTTAAAATCGCTTCTGCTTTAAAACTAATATGTTAAGCGGAAGTATATTTAACGGAAGTGGGAGAGGGATCGGAGACCTTCGGTTCCGTCCCCCTGGAAGGATTCTCCTTCAAAACTAGGAAAAAAGTACGCCACCTATAGAAGTAGCCAAGTCTTAAGCGAACGACCCTTGCTTTTAAAATCCGTGGACTTAATCTGATGTTACTGTCAAACAAATAGTGTGGTGTGATGTATTTGATTATGACAAAGCACTCGAGAGCTATTTGCCTAAGGGAAGGGATTCCTTCATGGAGAAAGGTATTCCTTTCTCCACGAAGGCATTCGTGGAGGATTTTCTAAGGGAAACTGGCTCATATGCACGTTACACATGGGGAAAACCACGAAAACGCGCACACAGCCAACCCGTTCGCGGGATTCGAACCTCGGACCGAACTACCAGTGTTTAGCGACTTTACCGCTCGTCCAATGGTGGGCTGTCAAACAAATGAAGCATATTTCTTGAAAACTATTTAAAATACGTGAATTTAATATCAATTACTCAATTTTTTAAAGTAAATTTAGTTACACACAACAGTATAACATAGTATCACATTATTCATTATATCACATTATTCATTATATCACATTATTTAACACAGCATAATATTCTAATATGACTTAATAACAGTTTTTCTTCATAATCTAATGAAAACAGTACTGCAGCTTTAGTCACTCATGGAGACTCAAGTAATTTGATAATAACAAGACGTTATTCGTGTATTGTTACAAAAAGATATACACCATTTTATATATGGGCCTGAATTCAAAACGGTCCATATATAAGACTTAACCATTGACTGGAATGTCATATTAAAAATTAGAAAAAAAGCCATCAGAGCTTTTAAATAAAATTCTGTTGATTTCGAGAGCAAATTGTTGCAGCTCTCTCTTTTCATGGACAGAAAGACTTAGCAGAAGTGAAGAGCAAGCGACTAGATTTATACTCAAATCAATGTGAGGAGCAAAGATAAAATGAATAAAGCGCCGTCTGTCGAGAAAAACTAGTAACAAAATGCGAAACCTTTTTTTTTTTTTTTTTTTTTTTAGGTTTAGTTGATTACGACAGAGTATATTAGGGTTATCTAGCCTAAGAGGTGTCTTCGGGGAGGATATTCTATGGGAAACTGGCTCGTATACACGTATACACATAGGGAAAGCCACTAAAACGTCCACGCAAACGATCCATTCGCATGGAATTGAACACCTGTCGAAACTATCAGTGTTCAGGGATTTTACCGCCGCTTAACCGGGATAGCGGTTAGTGACGCTGACTGCCGTACCAAAGGGCCTGGAATGCCGTACCTGGGCCGAATCCCGGAGAAAACATGGATGTTTGTAAATGTATAGTGTCTGTGCGGCTGGGGGCACTCTAAATATGCGGCAAGCCAAAAGTACTCTTGAGAGGTTGAGGAAGGAAAGGAGAGGAGGGAGACTGTCCGATCCGCCCCGGCCGCCACCCCAGGGTGTTCTCTCCCAAACTGGAGGCGGGATTGAGCTAAAGTCGGGCTGTCACCTGTATGGTGCATAAGGCTCTCGCCAACCACAGGCGACGCATTTGGCATCTTGCCGCGATGAATGTCGTGGGGTTATGCTGACTTTTGTCAGAAAAGTAAGACAGGTGACAACAACCACTCGCCCGCTGACCAGCCGAAGCGCAAGTGAGCTAAATTATCAGAATTGTGAAAACTCTGGCTAGGAGCGGAATTAAGGCCGTTAAAAGAAAGCGCATTTTTAAACGAAAAGTGCCATTTTTATGAATGTGAAATTTGTACATCAACTAAAAAAAGGAAAAATTATTTTTAAATGAAAATTTTCTTTAGATGTAATTTAATTCTTCCAAAACCTTTTTAAATATTGCCTTACCTTTTTCATGTTTCATTACCATTTGCCTAATTATCCTGTTTGCAAATAATTCTGTGAACAGATGAAAATAAATGTAGATGACGCTACGTTGGTTCTGACTTTATGCCGCTGATTCATTTCCGCATACATTTGGTTTTGTGCTTCCCCCCATGCAAAAACGTTTTGCATCTGAAGAAGAGGGACTTGTATTAGATTGTCCTTGAAATCGACAGAATTTTATTCAAATTTCAATTAATCTAAGATTTAAAAAGAATATTTTTTTTTTGATTTGTTTAATTTGAAAAGTAGTTCTGAATTTCTGAAGGTGTTTTACTTGAAAAAAAGCTTACATACAAGAGGATCTCACATACATGAACATAAGTCACAAAATAATGAATACTGAAGCATGAATATGATGAACATTAAAGATGTACGATAACAATAAGGTACTTAACTGGTTTAAGTATCATACCATGAAAGAAAATTAGGTAAATATGTTTCTCTTAATATAAAAGTTATAATTATTAAACAACATTAATATGCTTGTTCGATAGACAATAGACAATAATGGCGCAGCTTACCTAGTAAAGTTCTAAAATATATCTAAACGCCGAAATCAAAATTTCTACACGTGTGGTTCAGTCGTATTTCCATCTAAATAAACATTTAATCTAGTTTAAAAAGGAATTTATTATAATTCCAAACAAAACAAATTAGTCTAATGTAGAATCAATTTGACATTTCATTCAGTTCAAACTGTTGTCACTTCTCAAAATGAATGCGCTTCTACTGAATTTCGCGTTGCCATTCAGAAGCACAGAAAAGTGTCCATTCAAACCGGAAAAATGGTTCTAAAATGTTACGTTATGTATAATGGCGGGTTTGGCTATCAGAATATCATTTTAAACGAGGAAATCCACTTGTAGGGTTTATATTTATTTTAACTAACATTTATTTTAAGCTATCTTTCCTGTCAAGCCTTTACTTTCCCCTAGAATTGCCAATGCCAGAGTATGTAAATTTTAGTAGAACGCGCAGAGTATTCAAATTTTTTAGCAGAAGTAATTTGAGTTAAATAGAAGGGAAACGAGTTTGTAGGAGTGCTTTCTTGATTCACAAGCGTGAAGGTTGCTAGGTAGAAATTTAAGAACCGCGCGTTTCGGCCTGTGTGCCTACTTTCGGCATTTAGTTTGAATCTTCAACTTCTTATTCAGAAAGTTTTGCTGAAATCTCAGCTGTATCTTAGAACGCGGTTAAGTTAGTCACGTTTATTAGAGCCTCGTAGGTAGTGACTTGTTATTTATTCATCCTGTTATTTATTTTTAGTTGTACTTTTCCATTTTTATTTAACCGCCGGGTCGGTGTAGTTTGTGAACGTCAAGTGAACGCATCTGTAACTTCTAAAGTGGAATAAAAAGGGAGTTAGACCCTTCTTAAGAGTTTGTGTAATTTCCAGTTCATAGCAGTCACTACTACTGTTGCGGGCAAGTTGGGGGCCACGCAACATCACACACTAAAATTTAAAACATTGCAGAATTAAAGACGAGGTTTTATTGACACACAGTTTGTAATACTAATTATAATACTTTATTTTATAATTTACCTGGAACGCATATATATGGGCGACATGGATGTCCAATAAGGCAGTTCCTATCAACCATGCATATATAATTATTATCACATCTGTTTGGCTTGCAAGGATGACTGACTTCTAGTGATGTTCCCGCGAGTTTGCTTTCCCCTGCAAGAAGATACGAAAAATTCTAATTTGCTGTTATCTCTCCAAGATATTAAAAAATACCTACATTTAATTTATTTATATACGTTCAACTTATAGTGATGTGCAAGTATCACAAATGATATATATGATATATATATATATATATATTATACGGGATATATATATGATATATATCATATATATGATAATGATATATATATATATATATATATGATATATCATATATATGATAATGATATATATATGACATTATATTTAGGTTTAATTTGCCTTTAAAATAAGCAAAGCAATTAGCAAAACCAACTGAATTGCACGTAATATTTTATTTTAAATTAACCTGAACTCTGAGAATTAAACAGACTATATTAAGTTTACGAGGCATTACATAATCTGAGTCACGTTAATATATATATATATATATATATATATATATAGCGTACGAACTAGGATTTTTCTTTTAAACCTTATATATATATATATATTAGCCCTGGCCTACCAAGATTTCCATTTTGAGTTTTCCCTCGACTACTTAAGTCATGGTTGTTTATACTTGATATATTGAAGTGCAAAATGTTTATTTGAAATTTAACTTGACTTTCGGTTTTTGTGTACTGTTTTTCTTCCTGGATAAGTGTAACTGGAAATTCATTTCATACGTTTGCGATTCCTTACTTTTTATGAAGCAAAGATAATTACCATATGCAAAACAGTTTTTAGGAATCAATGCAGTAAAAGCTGCGTTGAATTCCATACACTGTGCACACAATGTACACTACAATGGCTTAAAATACTATTTCGTTCCTACCACGTTCTCCACATAAATATCTGTTAAAGAATACATGAGTGCTAACAATAATTAATATTTTCAGTTAAAGTATTTATGTATTTTTACTATTATTTAGTAAATATTTTAGTAATAATATATTTTTCATGTTTTATTGAGGTAAAAGGAACTTATTTTCAAGACAAAATTTGATTTAAAAACTTGACAGTTAACAGGTTAATAATTCAGATTGTTTGTATTTTATTTTAATTTTAAACAGTGTGGAAAACCATCAAAATCTCCTCAATAAATACTGCATATATAGCTACAAACTTGTCACAATTTTTGCATTTTAATGTTTACAGTAATTTTTCTAAAGAAGCCGTCGCATATAAAATACGTCCCTGCTTCTGTAAACAGTTGAACATTTCATTCTTTTTTCATTCTAAATCGCCAACCCTTTGCATTAAATTCCTACTTATTACAGTGCTCAAATATAAAAAGAAATTAAATAGTACTATTAATATCATGGTTAAATATTCCGCAATAAATTTCAAATGAAATATGAATTTACTCACCCATGTAAGGAGCCAATGATATGCAAGGAGTATCATTTCCAGGTGGAGAGAGGATTTCACAAAGTGTTACTGGACTTTGGTGACTTAGTAGTCTCGTACGATTAACACATTTATCAAGAATGTCTATACAATCAGCTCTTAAAGAGAATGAAAAAAATAGAGACAATTGTTACAATATGAACGGAATTATTTTTCAGATTTGCCTATTGAGAATGAAAAAATAATCGGGTAACAACAAATATGTAAGTAAATAAAAGTATGTCAAGTTACGGTTAAAAGTCATTTCTCGTTTTGGCCAACATAAACTGATCATAAAATACATGATAATTTATTATTATTACATATGTCCGCAGAAGAATTTATATAAATATTTTAAACAATTCATTGAAGGCATTGAAAAACAAATTACTCCTCTTAACAACTTTTATTGTTCGCCAAACAGCAGTTAAAATTTATGATTATCTTTTTCATTATGGGGAATTAAAAAGTACTAATTGCAATTATTCCATACCCTTATTCGGAACCATTTCCTGCTTACAGACCACAGCAATAACGTTTTTGTAAATACGAAAAGAAATAAAAAGTTTTCTGCTGTTCTGAGATGAAATAATCACATCTGTTGTAGAGTCATTAGGTTATTTCGAAGCAAGAGACATGAAAAATTAGAAGTGCCCTCGCCGGTACTCGAACCTTTCGAATACGGGCCGAGTATGCGTTACACCAAGAAGGCATGCAGAAAGGCATGCATACCTTATACTGTTTCTGTAAATTATCTGAAAACCTTAAAGAAAATACAATTAAATTAAACATCTCTTTAAATTAGGTTTCAATTTCTTTAAAAGCCACTTTATGAGATTTCCTGTTCTACTTCAATAAATCTTTTCTTCGAATAGATACAGAGACTTGTTATGTAAAGCTAAAAATATGTTGTATGAATTAAACAATAACATGAAAAAGCACCGGAACTTGTCATTTCCACGTATATGGATAGTCAAACAGCTTGCAAGCAATAAGTGGCGCGAAGTTTGCTATTAAATAATAATTTCGGGAATAATTTAGATTTAAGGAGAATAATAAATAGCAAATGGCATTCTACTGTACACACACATTTCTAAAATTTCTGTTTTAATTACGAAGACATATTTCGTCGTGTGATAAAGGAATCCAACCTCCCACCATTGAATATCTTAAAATTCTTTAATATTTCTTCGAAATTGTGTAGATGAATTGTATAAAGTATTCATATTTAGATTGCTTAATATGAATATTTTAAGCATTCCCTAGAAATATTAATATATATTTTTCAACTTCAAGACATATTGGTGAATTATATTTCGGGATTCTGCTATTATTAACTGGCCAGTTTTAGAAATTAACTGATTTGTAGCTAAATCTTTAAAATGAGCAAACAAACGATTTATTGTTTGCTCATAACTCAGTTATTTTAACGTAATTAATAGATAATCAATAATAGCTCAAAGACATTGGTAAGATGAAAAATACACACGTAAATTGATCATCAGACAGAATGTTTTTGAAGTTTGAATGATAAAAATTTTTTAACTACTTTCATTAACACTAAGTTTATGGATATTTTTATTGCACCTCAATATTAACGAACACCCGTCAAATTGACGAGTATAGGAAACCACGTTTTTTCTTTAAAGAAAAAATTTGATGCGGACACATGAGTTCCTTATAGAGAATATTAAATTTTTGCTGCATTTCATTTAAACTTATTTCGTCGAATTTCATTAGAAATAGATTTCTCATTCAATTAATTCAGCTCTCACTTCGCGGTAAGGCAAAATACATAAAACCTCCAAATATATTCATTAAAAATTGAAAAATATAGAAGAATATAAAACACCAAATATAGTTAAAATAATTTTAAAAAATTTACAATTGAAATTAAAGTTTCAACAGACAAGAAGGCAGACAAGAAAGAAAGACAAGAAAGCAGACAAGAAGGCAGATTTTTCGGTGGCTAAAACTAAAGGTATACTTTTGGCCACACTAGGCAAAAAGACACTGAAGGTGCAGAAACTGACTTAATTCACTATTCTGCTAAGTTTCAAATGTAAACAAATATGGCTGCCATGGTAAAAATAGCCTTAGCCGCAGTTAAACAACGTTTAAATTGTTGATAATTCTACAACTATTGCATGCAGATTTACTAAAGGCTTAAAAACCTTAACCGGAAGATAAGAACAATATAATGCAATCATTTTTAAAGGAAAAAATACACAACTTACCAACATATAAGAATAAAACAAAATTGAGCTCACCGAGCCAAGTAACAGAGTGGGTATATATATATTGTTACGAATTTTGTTTTGAGGTAGCTGATTTTAGTAGAATTATAATTAAAATTGTTTTATTTCCCCGTGCAATGTAGCGCGAAACAAATTTTAAGAAAAAGCTATGCCGGAAAAGTAAAAATACGGGAGCAAATGCATTTAACATTTAATAAATAAATATCTCTTTAATTTGTATTGAAACTGAATAAATGTAATTGACCACTATGTTAGCTGTAACCGTTATTATATCCACTCTTTTGCTTTCCAGAAATCTCGAGAAGCAGAATTCACTAAAAAGATCTCGCACGGCCGATTAAAAACTATTTAAGGCCGAAGAAAGAACATCTCAGCTTAGTTGTTTAGTTAGTTGCTTAGTTAAAAAAAAAAAAAAAAAAAAAAAAAAAAAAAAAAAAAAAAAAGAGGCTCGGTGATCATTTACTTTAGTGATTGATAACAGATTAAATAAAGAAAAAAATCTGAAAGCTTTCAGATTTTAATTTACGCCCAAAAAGCACTTTTTATTAAACATTTTATGTGTTACCTTTATTTATTAAATATCAAGTTCATCGCTCTTAAATCATAAAATTCAATTAAAGAGCAATATAAGACAATATTTAAAAGAGCATATCTTTAAAATGTCCGATACACAGTCTCGTGCGCTGGCGATAAATTTTTTGGGGAGGGGGTACAGTGTTGCTATTGCCCACTTTGAAATCGTTGAGTTTCTTAATCAAGACTCATAAATGCTTTACAAAATATAAAATAGATAATAAAACAAATTCAAAATTTGGGATTCGAGATGCTCATATTCGGGTGGAGACGTACGTTACTCAAAATTTGATTCCTGTAGGTACCGTTGTTTTATCACAGTGAGAGAAACATACATACATTTATGCAGATTCTTCATTATTTCATTTGTTTAAATATAATACAGGTCTCTAATATTTGGTGACAACAATTTAAAAAGTGATTCACCGTTTTTGATGAATCAACGCAAAATGCCAAAACGAAATTAATAACCGTTCTGGGTAAATTGCCCCTTTAGGCTAATAAATCTGTTGCTTGTTTGTCTTTTGTTCTTTCTTTTACAATGCCCTTTTTTTTTCAAACATTTTACTTGTCTTGCATGGCAACAAACTTCTCGATCATAAAAGCATAGTCGAACATCCGTATCTCTAAATTTTTAAAAATTATTTCCTGCATTTTTAGTATTAAATCAATATATTTTTTAAGCCAAATTATGTTTTATATCTTGCTAGAATTACTTCTTATTAATTGACTGTAACTGCATTCAGATATCAAATGTTACACCAGTATTTTTTAATTATTTAATTTACCATTTAAATCTATTTAATTTCACATTTGCCGAAATTTCTTATCGTCAGTATGAAGCCCCTTCCTGTTTATAGTGTTGCGATGCCATAACACCTGATAGCGAATCAGAAATCACCGTCTACATAGCTTTCCAATCACATAAGCTATTCAAGCATGTAAGTGAAATATGGAATTATTCTAAACACTCATTTTAATGAAGCAGATGCCAGAGTATTTAACATATACTTTCTTTCAGTGTTTGTTATTAATATAAATTAATGGCATTTACTCCTTCTGTTTACGCCATTAGACTTATAAAAAGTTGTGTACTTTAAATTAGATTAATACATTAAGGCAAAGCACGCCAGGCTATCTCTCTAAGAGGAAAAATGCTTTCCTGGAGGATTTTCCAAGATAAACTGGCTTGTATTGTGTTACACATGGGAAAAACCACAAAACATCCCCTCAGCCAGTCTATTTATCACGTTTTAAACCGACAGGAGCTATGAGTGAGTATTCAGACGTTTTATGCAGTCGGGTTATCACTGATGAGCAAGTTTTAACGGAAACGCGCTGTGAATCCTAAATGATACGAAGATGACTCATGAAATGCTTTGGGATTTTTAGTGTCTGTTTCTAATGATATATACGAAAATGATTATCTTCAATTTGTATTATTATTAAATATTCTTTATAGAACATTCAAATTTTATAATCCTACAAAATGGGAAAAAAAGCACTGCACAATAGTTATAAAAAAGTCCGGGAAATAAAAAATAATAAAAAAGTCCGAGATATAAAAAAGTCCGGGAGGAGGAAAAAAGACTTTCGAATTGGGTAAAATCGATACAGTTTCAAAACTTTTCTTATTTTTCAACTATGATACTCAGGAAGTGTTTAATAGTTACAAATTAATAAGTTACTTTCACTATTTAGTAAGCTCTTTTTATAAAAAAAAATTATAAGCTTAATTAAAAATAAATTTTTGGAAAAATTAGTTTAGAAAATATTTTAAGACTTCTGAGTTTATAAACGATAATTAAAAGAAACTTAATATATTTCAAAATAAAAAAATATTTTCATTACAATTCTTTGTTCTAAATCTAAATGAATGCCTGTAATATATATAAAAAAATCTGAAAGCTTTCAGATTTTACATTACGCCCAAAGGGGCGTTTTTTTAATGCTTTGTAGGTTAGATTTATTTATTAAATATCATGTTCTGCGCAAACCATAAAATTCAGTCCAACAGCAGTATCGTGAAATAATTTCAAAATGAGCATATCTTTAGATTTTACGATACAGAGTATCGCGCGCTGGAGATAATTTTTTTTTTTTCCCATACAGTTTTGCCATTGCTCTCTTTTAAATCGTTGAGTTTGTTAATCAAAAATTCGTTAGTGTTTTACAAAATATGAAATAGATAATAAAACAAATTCCAAATTTGGGCTTCCAGATGCCCATATTCGGGTGGAAACGAACGTTATTCAAAATCTGAAGGTTGTAGCTACCGTTGTTTTATCACAATAAACAACAGATACAAAAAATTTTTTTCCTGTACAGTGTTGCCATATCTCGCTTTGAAATTGTTGACTTTGTTAATCAAAAATTCTTTAATGTCTGACAAATTATGAAATAGATAATAAAACAAATTCCGAATTAGGGTTTCCAGATGCCCATATTCAGAGTGTTTTTTCACAGTGAGAGAAACATACATACATTTATGCAGATTCTTCATTATTTAATTTCTTTCAATATAATACAGGGTTCTAATATGTGGTGGCAACAATTTGGAAAGTGAACCAACAGTTTCAGTGAATCAACGCAAAATGCCAAAACAAAATTAATAGCCCTTCTCCGCTAACACCCTTTGGGCTAAAAAGAAGATGGCAGATAGAAAACTTAGACATCCGCTTCTGCCCCAATTAAAGTAAAAGAAAAAAAAAGTATCCTGTGAGTAGAAAAGATCCGAAATGTTATTAAATTTCTGTAGCTTCTTAAAACTATAAAACATGAAAATTACTTGCAAATCCTATTCACAAGAGCTTTAGGATCACATGGTTTGATCTGCAGAGTACAAGCAATAGCTTTCCAGATTTCTGGATGACACTCTGATATCTTTAAAACGGGAATATGCATCATTGGAAGTTGAATCACTCCTTCTTCCCACGACAAGAAATTTTGCTCAGCTGCTTCATCTGCTCCTTTGTTGCAGCTACGGAACAGTTCAGTAGGACGGGAGTTGAAATTTGTACAGTACGATAAACCTTCACATCCGAGTTCGCAAGGTTCGTCAACTAAAAGTAAATAAATGAAAGTGTATCGCAGGATATCCCATAATTTTTGTCAAAAAAATCATCAAAATTGAACAAACTGGCGTATCACCGTGCGGTTTGCGCCTGAAAACTTTAATTTTTTTTTATTCATTTAGAATGATAATCATAGTCTAAGTATGAATACGTACCTTCTGTTAAACATCGTATCATTTCTGATTCAGCAAGTTGATACTGGCATAAACGATCAAAGTCATTCCAACTACCACCTGACCACTGGTTGCTAAAGGTCTGAAATTAGATGTGTAAATTAATTTATTCGGAACTTTGATAAAAGCAAAAGTTCAGAAACAAAACATATCAAATGCATAAGTATCAATTTACTTTTATTACGCAATCTATATCATAAGATTTGAAGCCAAAAATAATGTATTAATATATATGCAACAGAAATACATAAGGATCTTTAGAATACATTCACAAGGCTGGACATAACCCCTTGTTCCTTCCTTGGCAATGACAGACATTGAAGTTTTCTGCAATCTTTCTTTGGCGACTGAGGTATTTTTCTAAGTATAAGATAAATCTTTTATTGTTTATCTAATAAAATGCCATGTTTTGGATTCTGACCAATTATGACGTGTATTTTTTTTCTTTCTTTGATGATATATTACGTCCTTGATCCAAATGTTATGCTACCTTCCCTGGACAAGCCTCATTCATACATAACCGCTTGCATTCGAGAATTCTAGCAATGTTTTTGTGGTAGATTGTTCCATATCGTCCCGATCTGCCTACGATTTTTACCTTTTTCTAGCTGTTTGGAAAATATCATAATGATTACAAATTTTCGGGTAGCGACAATGCCTAGACAACGATTATGCAGTAAGCGCCTTGGTTATCACATTTTAGGAGATGGACATAAAACATATTCTCCCGCATTTCGAAAGAAATCTCAGTAAGTATCCATCTTAAAACACAGTATACAGCAACTCGGGGCAACATGAGTGTCGTTGAAAGCTTGGCGCATATTTATTGCATTGCCCAACGAATATGTACCAAGCTTATTACAGTTGCATTTCCCAAAGACCCACTTCAGATTATAAACCTCATAGTCTGAAGTGGGGAATAACCGGAAATTTTCCTCGTAGCCGAGGCTTCTTCGTGGGTTCGGGACTCGGTTCGACTCACTTTTTCTTCTCATCTCACATGCACCAATTTACAGGCTGATAAGCACCCTCTCCAAGTGGACCAGCTGCTCTGTCGGTGGAGCAAAGTTAAAAAAAAAAAAAAAAAAAAAAAAAAAAAAAAAAAAAAAAAAAGTAAAGTTTAAAGTGAGTCAAGAACCATTAGTTAACTGACCTCAACTATACTCTTGATGTGAAGAATCATATACGCAGATAACACACATACGTAATATATACTGCAGTCAGATTGGTTTGTTTAACAGCCAGTGAATAATTAAAACACAGCTTTTTAACTTTTTGAAAAATGTTTCGGTTAAAAACAATAAAGTGCATTGTTTGAGAAAAATACAGTAATTTTTTTTTCCATAAAAACATACTTGAATATCAGACTACCAAAATTCGCTAGTCAGTTAAATGTTCTTTACATTTTAGAATTTGACTGTGATATATCAAACTTCATTTTGCATTAATATATCAAACTATAAACATGTATCATAAAGATACTAGCGCTGCCGAAATTTAAGTTTCGTTTTTTAATTTTTTATTTTATGCAACAAGACAGTGAAAACAATGCATGCTACAGTTACTGTTGAGTTAAGGATGCATAACTGTGATACTAACCAAATGAATGGTAACAGGCTGAATCTTCTTAAAAGAATTTAACCTTAGGAAAAATTCAACATCAATGCATAGTCTTCTGATGATTATTTTAAATTGAATAGCTGGCCGAAAAGTTGCCTCTCATGTTGCATGTTGGGCCTTTTATGTTGAAATAAATTTTGCTCTTCGAATAATAGCTCTAAATTCATTCACGAAAATTCCCTTGAGTGATAGATAGGAATATGAGAAAGTTGTTGAAGTAAGTGCTTAGAAGTCAAAAATAACAGTAATCGTCACTGATGTTTCCAAATGAAATAAATTTAATAATAGCAATAATAATAATAATAATCGTAAAAAGATAAAAAGGAAATAAAATATATACTTCGATACAGAGTCTTTGGCAGTTAACTGTAGCAGCTCGAAAACAACACTGTAACTTTGCACCGTCCATTTCGATTTTCTCAGACTGAGTGAGAGAGCCTCCAGGCTCATTTGCAGCAGCATTAAGTAGGAAGCACTGCCATAGCCTGTCCTAAATAAATATATGTAATCAATAGTAGACATCTAACATTAACATCAGGCATTTGAATTTTGAACAACTAACTAAACAAACCGATAAAAAGGCCAAAACAAAAAAGTTACAAGATAGAATTCCGACAATATCAAACATTTGATGAAAAGACAGTATGAAGAAAACGGCTGAAGTTTTCATAACTACAGTTATTGATTCTTAGACTTATACATCAGACTTTTAATTTTATAATTCGCACAACCACTAAAATGTTCGTAAATAGGAATGGCAATGAAAATCAAGTTTTACACTTACTTTATAGAGTTAAAAATAAATCTGAAAGCTTTTAGATTTTACATTACTTCCAAACGAGTGTTTTTTAACGTTTTGCGTGTTTGTAACCTCACGGCTCAATGAACGCCACCTAGCGGCCGCCGGGGAAAACACCGACCAACAAAGACTATAGCTTTCAGTCGGTGTACTGGACTCAAGATCTAAGCATGGTATTCCCCGAGATTTACTTTGAAACTTAAATGTGTAATTATAACGCCCTTTATTGTAATGTTTTATCTTAATCGTGTTTTGTTAATTAAAACTATTTAAAAAGGCCAAGCGAGTCTTTTGTTTATGTTAGTTTTGGTTATAGTTGGCGCCCCCACGTTGGGCCCCAACAAAATATTCTTAAGTCCAAATATTCTTGCGGCTTTTACTAGGTATTTTAATCTTTACTTTTAAAATTCATTTAAAAAATTAAGCAGCACTAGGCACTAATTTTGAACTTGTTAGTTCTTTCGTATTTTTTATAAATTGAACTTTGGCAAATTTTCTAATTTCTATATATATACTTGAAGAAGATATAATAAAGTAGTCAAAAGTGCTTTAAAAAAAAGAAAGAATAAATTAGGCTAAAATTAGCGCCTCGAACTGCTAAATTTTCAAAATCAGTTCAAATAGGTAAAGAATTTAAAACCTAACAAAAGCCGCTTAAATATTTGAAAGTAACCTATCTTGTTTCCAGAAACACGTTGCAAAAATGAAATACTTAAGAAAAAGACTAGTTATGAACTAAAAATTTTACAAAATTAAAAATGGGAAAAAAACAACACAGTACAAACTGTTTTTTTATTAATCTCCCTCTGTTTAAAGCTTCAAACAGAACTTGTCAAAGAAAAAGCGTTTTGAAGTCTCAAACCAAGTTGATCAACTGGAAAAACGTAAACATGTTTCGTTCTAACAAATTCACTGAGACTTCAATCCGTTTTAATTGAACTCAATATTCTTTACAAACTTAAATTTATTAAAAGTCTCATTATCTTTGTCTCTTTTCCTGGCATGTTTTCGATTTCTATGCCACATAATGCACAAAAATGCTTAAAGTTATAAGGTATTTCTCCCGCTTTCCTAGCTTGCCTTCGTCTTGAAGTGGTTCTGCACTCTGGGCCGCCATTGCAGAGGTACTTGGTTCGATTCCCGGCGAAGGCGGTTTCTAATTTTTCATCTCTCCGGCTTTTCCAATTAACCTAATGTCTCTACAAAGTAATTACTACAAAATTTATGAAACTTAAAATTTGTAAATTCCATACCTATATATATATATATGTATGTTTTTCCTTTTTTTAATTGTGATGTTTACATTTCATGAAATATCTTTTATTATGCAGAAGTTGCTAAATTAAAGCAGAAAGAAAAAAACTGCAATGAAATTGTAGCATATACCTCACTAGTAGGTTCTAGAATTTAAAAAGTAGGATTTAACTCAGCAAGAAAAGAAAATACGACGATTGGTTTCTGAGATTTAGATTTTATTATATTAATCGTTATGATGTGAAATTTGCTTGATTTGGAATGAACATTTGGTTGCTGATAGCATGAAATCATCCAAACTAGAGCGAAATTGCATGCAATGCACACAAACAAACCACAAAAATAGTTTGAATGACTTCCAAAGTCTTCAAATGCAGAAAGTAATGTTTCCAGAAATGTTTCAAAATATCAGTATAAATTAAAATTCTCTTTGATTAATTTTTTCTTTAAAATGTGCAGAAAATTTATAAAAAAGAAAAACATAGTAGATTATCAGAAATTTGATTTTACTTACCTTTCCTTTTGACGCATAAATAAGATAAATATTTTTAAATTACAGCATTTAATCATAATAAAAATTTCATAAATTAACAATAAGAGTATTTATTCAAAGCAATATATAATTTTTTAAATTAATCTGATATAAGAAAAATATCAATATAAAACATCTAAAATATTTAAAAAAAAAAAATTGTAAAAAAAAAAAAAAAAAAAAAAAAAAAAATCTGTAACACGTCTAAAACATATACAAATTATTATATCAAATAAATAGTTTACTTACATGAGGAAGTGGGGGTCCGCAACCGACTCTGCTAAGCCCATCAATAACTTCCTGGCCCGTCGTTTCGGTTCTCAGAATTTCTTTGCATGCAGTACGACACTGAATGTTAGGAGATCGATCACAGCAGTGCATATCTAAAGAAATAAGAAAGTATACAGTCGCAGTTAAGAGCGTGGAATAAATACACTTTCACATTCACAAAGCAAATATGCATAGAAAAACACGAAATTAAATCACTAGCTTTGAAACTATTATTATTCTTAACGTTAAGGTCAAATTAAGCGCGAAACGCGGTTTTTATTTACATAATAACTTGCGATAAATAACATACTCACTTCTGAAAGAATGTTCCATAGGCGTGACATGGACATATATACGAACACATTGCTGAATGCGAGGGCTGTCTTCTGAACAGTATGTATGAACAGCTTCTCTGACTGCTTTTGGTGGAGTAAACGACTCAACAAACACCTCCTTACACGCCTCACGACAGTTATTAGTTTGAGCATTCCTGCAACATCTTTCGCCCGCTGTTGAAAAAAAAAAAAAAATAATAATGGTGACAAATAATAAAATATATTCCATGACAAGTAATAATAATTCATTTTAGGCCTTTTCCGTTATTGGAGAACCCCCCCCCTCCAAATAATTTTCTACAAAAAGATACATTATTTACGGTTTCTACATAGAGACCGATTTAATGGTGGCTAACGTTCCTTATTGCCACTGTTAAAGTAAATTGTTGCTTTTACATTGGCTTTCCTGTTTTGAAAGTAAATATTGTGATTAAACGTTTTTAAAGTGTATCATTCTATTTTTTTTTTTTTTATTAAAATAACATAAGTGATATACTATTTGTTACCTCTAGAAATTTTACCGCAATCGAAGCGAGCTGATAATGAAATAGGTTTTTCTCGCAGGAAGTATCAAGTTGGTTTATGTATTTTTCTACGGAAAATTGTTTAGCTCGTCTTTTCCTGTAACAGAAAAGAGGCTTCATCTTTAATAACAAGTTGTGCCGCGATGCGAAATCTTTAGCTCCCTGCCCATCAACGATCATCGAATTCCTGTAATGCCTTAGCATGTTTTTACGGTTTTGTTTGCCAAACATATAGAAAACAGCTACCGCACAAAACTCGCAGACCACTACTTATTAAAAATCATTGTGTATTGAAATTTATCTTGCATAAACGTAACTATATTATTTCACAAAAGTGTTTTTACTCAATTTAATATCTCGTGGTACTTTTCGGCTAACAGGTTGCCACTTGGTTCCAAACATATACATCCGCGAGAAATCTAATAAGAGTTGACTTGCAACCTCAATGATATATATACAGCTTCATGGACTGAATTATTTGGATTACGGCAAAGCACGCAAAATGTACTTACATCTTTATAAAAAGACAAGCTGTTTTATACAAATAACTCAGAAGTTCACAAATAAGAGCGCATGTAATTATTCCAATGGATATTTTTCGATAATTCAGTTTTAATTACAGTTGACAGAATTCTATGAACCTGATCTCTTGGCACCTGAAGTAAGTAAATCGAATAGTTATCAGAAAGATAATGCGTGACTCTTCGAAACAGCATCCGTTCTGCAAACCTGAAAATAAAAAAGATTTTCGAAAATATAATCTTTCACTGCACTCCTAGATTCGGTGCTCCGTTAATATTAAAATGAGTTTCCTTTTGCAATTTGTTTCTGAACAAAGTATGGATGATACCTTTTGGAAGATTTTAATCCCGAACCTTCTCAAAACAACGTCCGGACAACGTCTTGCACAACCTTCTCAAAACAACGTCTTGCACAAATTGCGTAATCCTTATTGATTATCTTTCCTTTCTTTCTCTCTCTCTTTTTTAATATATGTTAAAAAAGATGGTAAATGTATTATCCTGTCGACCACAAAACTGAGTCCAAGCAGCGCGATTTAGAGCGTTATGGATAAGCTTGACGTCACAATACATAATAGCTGAGGTTTCGTTTGGTATAACCTCGATTAATTCACGAAAAGCACCTTTAGTTTTTATGAAGAAGAATATAAATTAACTGTTGTTGTAGCAATTTGTTCTTGCATTAAGAAAATAAGAGTTCGAGAACCGTAGAAGCACATTTGTGACTGCACTTCGGTTCATTTACAGTTCGTCGAGAGAAGAATTAACATCTGTTGAATGGGAAAAAAGAACAGTTGGATATGGTCGCCAAAACAGCAATGGATTGAAACAAGCCTCTGCGGAAAGTTTGTGTTCATAACTTTCTAATAGAGCTTTCAGTAAAATCGGAAGGCTTAACAAAATACTATAAATCGACGAGAGTCCTTTAGCGGGAGTTCCGTCCTTTTCCTGGTTCGATGATAGCCAACTTTAATGGTCAACGGGATAATACGCAAGTACCAAGAAGGTTAGTACTTCACTAAAAAAGCAAACAGAAGCTACTATATCGATGCTCTTTTTTCCCTTTTATTTGTAACGACGTTATTATATAACTAAAAGTGAAATAAAAAGAAATAAGTGAAATAAAGAGACTTATTTATTATTTAAGCGCCGTTAACCGAAACATACTATTTCCACCATTAAACAAAGAAGGAATTTGAATGGTTGACAAACAGTTCTAATATAAAATATTTCTATGTAAAAAATTCGCCGTATTAAGTTAACATAGGCAAAAGTTAAATTATTAAAGGACTGATCCTTGCATGTTTGGGGGAAAACAACAATATTTCATCTCCTCATACCTTCTTTTATATATATTTGCTGATTATTCTTAAAATTTCCCTAATTAGATGACTAGTGTTATGTTTAACTTCTCTGCAGAACAAATATTCGTAACTTCTGTTACGCCGGGGCATGTTTTTCTCGATAGGTCACAATTACTTCAGTAGTGAAATACTGTAACAGATAAAGCATAATTCTAGCGAGATTATATTTAATTTTCAAAACACACATCGCTTGTCGACAGTTGATCAGTACCTATGCATAATGAATTTGCATAGAGTACGCTTGCACTTCAGTGTTTCACAAACTGATTCACGTAATAGGTAACGTCCTTATCAGCTCTTACTTCCTACCATCAACTGAACGGCGATAAGTAGTTGCGTTTCTTGAGCCAAGAATTAGATATGTTGGAAGTTATGCCCCCGTTCATGTATTATGACGCACTTGTAAAATTTTGCCCCGAATGTTCGAGCATATCATAGTCGAAAGTACCGCAGCTGAGAGCTTCTTCTCAAGAGCACCTCCGATATCCCCCTGAGTTAAGTGAAAACAATTCCATCTCTTTATCATTAGAAACTTAAAATGACAAAAATCACTTATTGCTTACATATTGTTTTCGTAAATTTCGAACTGCAAAATCACGCAATCAACAGTATAAATACAGAAGGTTGATGTTGTATTTTAAAATGCAATATTGAAAGCTACATCTAAAAAAAGCGGGTGCGTCGACACTTATAATTTTTGTATTTTGCAGAAAATATTTATATTCTTTTGAAGGCAAAGCATTTTTGTTTGCAGAAAAAGAGAAAGATGTTCGTGTGCAGAAATTTTACACAGTGTCGCATGAAAATAAGGAATGGCTTTCATTGGTAGATTGGTAATACGATAAATAACATGTTATATAATACAGAGAGATATAGCTTATTATAATTATTAAAATATAATGCTGAAATGTAAATGACTTTATAACTATATAGCTATAAGTTTATTTATATGAGCTGTTTCACTGCAATATACTTACTAATTTATTGCATATCAGCCGAGTTTTAAAATTATGAAATTATCTTCAGACAATAATTGTTGTTTTTTTCAAGACATTTTTTTCCAAATATCAATTAAAATATTATAAGATAATCTGAGATTTACTTCTTAACACTGATTCTAAAAGAAAGCAATTGAATAAGATTTTCATATCCCCATGTCCTAGAACTGAACGTAGGTACATGTAACTGAGGTTTAGGGGACGGTATATTTAATGTGATATATGAGTGATAGTTTAATTCATAAATAATTCAAAGGCAGGCATTAGAAATGTTATAAAAGGGACGTTAAAGAAAGTGAGGTATTAACAGTGTTAAGTAAAGTGACGATAAATAAAGTGAGGCATTATCAATGTTAAATAAATTGACGTTAAAGAAAGTGAGGCATTAGAAGTGTTAAATAAAGTGACATTAAATAAAGTGAGGCATTAGCAATGTTAAATAAGTGACGCATTAGCAATGCTAAAAAAGTGACGCATTAGCAATGTTAAATAAAGTGGCGTTAAACAAAGTGAGGCATTAGCTATGCTAAGTAAAGTGACGTTAAATAAAATGAGGCATTAGCAGCCTTAAATAAAATGACGCATTAGCAATGTTAAATAAAGTGAGGCATTAGCAATATTAAATAAATTGACGCTAAAGAAAGTGAGGCATTAGCAATGTTCAATAAAGTGACATTAAATAAAGTGAGGCATTAGCAATGTTAAATAAGTGACGCATTAGCAATATTAAATAAAGTGACGTTAAGTGAAGGGAAGCATTAGCAGCATTAAATAAAATGACGCATTAGCAATGTTAAATAAAGTGAAGCATTAGCAGCGTTAAATATATATGTTAATAAAATTCTGTGACTCTTTGTTCTGCCATTCATTTTGTGCCACTCTGAACTTTTTTTTTTTTTTTTTTTTGTAATAATATAATGCCAGACTATGCACGACTTGCTTGCCGACTGACTGTCTTCGTGCTGACCAAACACTTCCTCAAGCAGCTAGGTCACCAAATCATCTAGATCACTTTTGGAGGCTGACGGAAATACGCCTCCGCTCCAGCGAATTAACCAGCTTAGCCCTGGCTACTGGAGACAAGTTACAAGACATCCACAGAACACCATCTGATCTGCGAATTTTATTAGTCAGTGCCACGCTGGATAACAATTTGCGTCCTTGACAAATGTGGACTAACTTTTTGTTGACCTGTACAGTGCTTTTTTGAATCAGTCATCCAGTTTTTCTTGAACTGTCATCATTTCTTTTTTTACATATGTATATCCCATATATTAGTTTTTATTTAAATTGGATAACAATACAGATTAAAATAATACAGATTAAATATACAATACAGATTAAAATTTTCAGATACAATACAGATTAAAATTTTCAATCTAAAATCAGATACATATCGAAGTTGAATTTTTCGTATTTCTAAAAAGAAAATATTTTTGGCTTTGTTTTAAAATAAACCCATCTTTTATATGTAAAGTATTTTAATCAGTTGCTTTACTCACTAATCTAAAAACCACCCCTTTCTGTTAGCTATGAAGATTCTGTCAAAAATTGAATTTGGGTAATAATTTTATTATTATTTCCTAGATCATTCATTAAAAAGTAAGCTGGAGTTTTTTCCTTGCAAGTCTTTTTCAATTATGAAAATATAAACGATGAACACAGCAATTCAAACATATTAAAAAAGAAAGAAACTGTAGCTATTCTTGAATATTTGTCTCAGAAAAATGAAAACATAAAAAATTGTTATTCATTCTTAGAATATTTTCATATTGTTACATGAAAAATGCACCAAAAAATGCAAGCCCATTCTCATTTTACAAGTTGTTATTTATTTAATGTTGCATTTTTGTAAATTTTGTTTTTTCAACTATTTAAATTTCTTGATTTTCAGTAGATCAATGGACATTCATTTTCAATTAGTAGTTTTAGTCTTTGTAATATTAATTAAATTATTGTATTAAAATACATATAATTAAAATGCTGAAACACATCCACATATTATTTATTCATCTTCAGAAAAGAAGAAATTAGAGAAGATTTTTCAAGCCATTTAATTTTCAGATCGAAAAATATTCTACTTTGATTCATCTTTCACAAATAAATGCACGTTTTAATTTGAAATTTTGTAATAAACACTATAAAATCATTTACAATGAGAAACAACATAAGATAATATAAGAGAAGGAAAATGTCATACTAGACCTTCTTGCCTTTCAATACAAGTATAAAATGCTATTTCATCACTTTTGCGACAGAAAGAAGTGAGACCAAGTACTGATTCTGCCTAAAAAATAAGACATTAATAAATAACTTAAAATGGCCGATCTAAATTTCACATTTTTATGGTAACAGCAACAGAAATGATGTTACCATTATATTAATCATAAAAATTGATTTTTTATAATTTTACCCAATCTCACAAATTTTAGGCTCACTTTATTCTTATAACCCCCTAAAATCTTCAATTTAAGATGAAAGAGCTATCTTTAATTTTTTTTAGCTCAAAGTGGCGTTAGCGCCCAAAAGGGCTATTAGTCCTGAAACGGCCATTTTCCATCCAATCACGTTTCAGATTGTTGTTACCAAATATTACCGCCCTGTATTGTATTTAAAGAAATTAAATAATAAAGAATCTGCGTGAATGTATGACTGTTTCTCGCATTGTGAAGAAAACAACAAGACCTAGATCCGCTAAATTTTGAATAACGTAATTTTCCATATATATAGGCACCTGGAATTCCGCATTTGGAACCTGGAATTTGCTTCATTGTCTATTTCATATTTTGTAAAACTTTAACGAATTTTTCATTAATAAACTCAACGATTTCAAAGCGAGCATTGGCAACATTATACAGAAAAAAAAAAATTATCTTCGCGTGAAATTATCTATCGAAAATTCTAAAGATATGCTGTTTTTAAATAATTTTAGCCCAAATGCTCTCGAAACGTGCATGTACGTGTAAATGGGAAAAATCTGGAGGTTTTCAGATTTTTTTTTTAATGGAGATCCAGTGGTGAAGCTTCCAAGAAACTGCCTAAAGTTATTAATTTTTCACTCTTCTTCAAGAGCGCCATGAAGTATGTGTATGGCACTGTAAATTGACGGGTCTGTCAATCATTCTATTCATCTCGACTTGATTGAGATGTCATTTCTTGGCTACATTTCTTCCCATCTCTTTTAAGGCTTCTTGACAATATAAGTAAGCTAGGGGTCTTCTGTTTCTCTTCTTTCCTCCATAAAAGGCTTTTCACGTTAATTTTCAAGAAAGATTTTGCAGTATTTCAGTTCTAATATAAAATATTAAAGAATATATTTAACTTGCTGCTTCTTTGGATATCACCTTTGTTTATTATAGGTACGCCTTCAAAACAAATAATACTAATAACAACAACAGCAACAATAATGCTGTTTTAATCAACAATAATGCTGTTATCACAGGTATTCACATTCGATAGCGATTCGTAATGCGAGACATTTTTGGTTCTTTGTGGATTATTTGTTGTGCAGCGCACAATTGTGCATTAATATCTACAAGAGAATTTTTATTTACAATGAAATTGACTACTCTGTGATTTTGTGAGAGATTTTGATTATCAGAATGTAGAGTTCACTAGATTCACTTTTGTGTGAAAACTGAAGGAGGAGATACTTCACAAAAAATTCTGATGTGTACACCACGTGACTTCCTTGTACGGAATATTAAATTATACGCATTTTTTCTTGCATTTTATTTAAACTTATGAGATTGAGTTAAACCTACTTCGCAGACAGCGCATTAACCACAATAGAATAAATGCATTCTTTAAAAATCACTTTGTTTACCATAGCGACACTCTGGCGCTAGGTTTACTTAACAGTATTATATGTCATTCATATTAGAACTCAGAATGCACAAAATGTATATCATTTTAAGAATTATCTAATCGTTGCCACATGTTCTACTCAAATACTATAATAAAGCTAGAACTATGTATAAAAGAAATTAAGCAAACAAAACAAAACAAAAAAGAAACAGTTTTTTACAGACGATTGAGTATTTCTCATTTAATTAATTCAGTTCTCACTTCGCGAGAAGGCAAAAATACATAAAACTCAAAATATCTATATTAAAAATTACGAAGTAAATCTCAAACGCTTATTTCCTCGAAAAAACTCCAGAAAGAATTAAGCATGATTTAATTGGGCAATAATAAATGAAGGCGTTATCTTTGTTGTGTGCGATGCTTAGATTTCTCGAGATTGACAACAAATCTACTATTCTGCTAAATTTCAAATGTAAACATCACATGGCCTTCATTGGTAATCAAAAAGTAGGCTTAGTCGGCACTTAAACAACTTTTATATTGTTGATAATTGCTACAATTATTGCATTCAGGTTTACGAAAGGCATAAAAATCTTAACCGAAAGAAAAAACAACATAATTCAATCATTTTTAAATCAAAAAATGCAAAATTTACAAACATATAAGTATGTAAAGAAACTGAGATCACTGAGCCGAGTAACGGAGTGGATATATATGTACATATATTTATATACGTTTTAGTGCGGCCGATTGCAACCAAAAATACGAGGTGCACATCTACATGATATAGCAGTCCTATATAAAAAATTTCAACGTTCTGAGGCTACTCGTTTTTCAGTTATGCGAGATACGTACGTACGTACGTACATACGTTCGTACAGACGCCACGAAAAATTCTCTTCAGAATTAATTTTAAAGCAGTTTTATAATTTTTTTGAAGTAAAAAGAGTGTTTTATTCTGTCCTTACGTACAGATATGACGTAAAAACATCGTTAAATTGCATTTGATAGTGGTCAAAATGGATATTTTCGTTGAAATATGCTGCCTGAAACTTTTCGCGATTACAATACTTCCTTTTTACTTCGTACAAGGAAGTAAAAAGGGTTAAAAGAACCCTTTATTAATTCTTTAAAATTTACAATGCGTCAACTCGACGCTAACAAATTACGCCTCTTCTTGGGCGGTAACTTAAATCATATAATGAAACTAAAAATTTGAAGATGTGAATAAATGATAGAACTAAACTACAGGGTTCAGCAAAATCCCATTTCTTAAGCTCCCGTCGAAACTAGTGGCAGCAAGCAAATGCAATTAAGCCACGTGAACCAGCAATACTCTGGAACTAAACGCTTAAACAGCAGAGCTGGCGGCTGTAGCCTACCTTTTCCTCTTTCCTACTGAAACTCGGTTTTTGAACTATTTCTTCAAAGTGGAATTTGCATTTCTTCACGCGCACTACAAAATTTAAATATTCTGGAATTGATAGTTAGGGGAACGAAGGCTTATAGGGATGTTTAAAATTAAACTTTAGCTTGTTAGTTAAAATAAATATAAATCCCTACAAGGATAACTTTGCAAACTTATTAACCTCTGTGATCACACGTCCGTCAAGCATTGTTAAGAGTTTAAAATGACATATGTTTTTGAAACCGGGGTCAGGTATAAAAGTAAACAAGAGATACATATTAAAGATTCTTAGTTATTGCTAAATTACTAATGAAATTACTTCATTTTTTTCAAGTTACAAACTTTTTTTTCCTATTCAAGCATTCCTCATATATATAATTTTTTTAATCTATTAAAAATTAGATATTTTTATAAAAAGTCACTTTTCTCATATTGTTAAAATGCTCTTCTTCATTGGATCTTTGACCCAATTTCAATGGCATAATGTTTAAAAATTTAGCAAAAAAGTTTAAGTACGGAACGAAAACACATAAAATATGTAATATCCTAACTTTCAATAAAAATACCAAATTCATACAAAAAAACTATATCAGTAATCATCTCTAATTATTTCAAAACCCACTAAGTAGGGAATACAAAGTTTCAAAGTTTGAAAACTCGGAAATACTTACTCGCAAACATGCCATCTTGCATTTTTCAGACTGTGGAATTCTGCAGCAGGGTCTCCCAATCCAGTCTTTACCTTTACTGATTTCTGAAATTTTTAAATAGAAATTTACAAAACTAGTTACAAAGCTAGCATTTTAAATAAAAATTGTAATTGACTTGTAAATAACTTGAATTATTCGAATCGTTATCCTTCTCTCATTTAAATTTTTCTTTTCCTTTAAATAACATTAAAGTGGTGCATATTTTAATATCCGTACATTACACTATATTATATAATGAAGACAGTACAGTAAAAATTTACACGTACTTCACAAAATGACTATCATTTTTTTTGACTTTTTCATACAAATTATAAATTTGTTGCATACATATGCCTTAACATACTTTTGGCACATGAATATTAATTTTGTCAATCATCACTAGATGGCTGCACCAGTTGAATCTTGCATGTCACTGGTCCGTTGATAACACAGGAATTGATAAAAAATTTAATTTAAATTAAGAAAAGAAAATAATTATTTGTTCAGAACTTTAACAGAATGTATTCGTTTTTTGAAATTAAGTTTGTTAATTTTCAGAATTTATTTCCGATATTAGCATTTTCTAAATTTGATACGTAACGATTTTATTGGAAAAAAAAAAAAAAAAAAAAAAGGACATGTGCGTGTTGTAGATGAATCGACAAGTAACAAAAATCAGTAACTTTTCTTGTTGCATATGTATTTTCTGCGCTGTTTTTGTTTTATGAATTTAATCAGCAATGGATGAATATAATTTGAAATAACTGAATAAACTATGTTTTTTCTTGGTATCAATCTCGTTCAGTAACTGAATGGTTTCATTTTTTGAACCTTACTGTTACGCAGTTTGAAGTAAATTAATAGTATAGTGTATATGACCATCAATGGAGATTCGAATCCCGCGAAACGGTTGACTTCATGAGCGTTTTTGTGCTTTTCCCCATGTGCAACATGTATAGGAGCCAGTTCCCTTATAAAGTCCTCCAAGAAGGCATCCCTTCCCTTAGGCAGACAGCCTTCGAGGCTTTGCCGTAATCACATAATCCAATCAACAAATCATATGACGTTTGCGTTTAGATTTAGTTCGACAGAAATAGGTTATACATTTTCTTTTAATTACATTAAGAAATAATTTCTTTGTTCTTTTATTATTGTTTAAGAAAAAATTGATTATGCTTTTTATTTTAGCGCCTACACAAATAAAATTTATTTCACCGTTCTATTTTAATTTATATAGAAAGAGAATTATGTATTTAAGCAAAATAATAATTTCATTGTTTAATTACGTCTGAAAAAGTTGCAATATATGTATGTAGCATTTTAAGTGCGTGGACGAAACTGGTACTTTTAGCAGCTTTCGATATTCGTCATGACTGAGAAGACAGTAGTGGGTGACGGTAAAGGCATGATGACGCAGTTAACATAATTAGCTTAAAGTATCACAATCGTTATTTTCACGTATATCAAATCATCTTGGTAGATATTTATCCAATGATAGTTAAATACGATAAATTTTATTTACACATGGTTTTTAAAAGTACGACGTAAGCATCTTAGACAGGGAAGCACAAGTGGCCCAGAGTTGTTTGCACGGTAAGGGGGGGAGTTAGGAATGACGTAGTTTTTTGCAAAACAGTATTTATACCAAGTAGATGCGTAAACATAACTAAGCTGCTATTGGCTAATTTTAGGTTGTTATGTAACATGGAAAGATCTAGAATTTGAGAGAACAGAATCTAGAATCTAGAATAGCCAATTCTGAGGTCGCCAATCGTTTCTTAGCGCAGCCGTCGTATTTTATTGTATCGTACATATATATAAGTAAACAAGTTAATTATTCGTAATAAATTGCTCAATACTTGCATTAAAGCTGCAAAATTGTAAAATAATAATTTATTTCTAGTAGAAGCAAAGTAAGTAAAGAAAAGTCTTCTTGTTTGTTTTGGGAGCATAAACTGTAGACCCAACGCAAAAGGCGAAGTAGCGAATTCTCCCTATGTTTTGAAAGAACAGATGACTGCAGACGAAGGTTATAAACATTTTTATTTTAACTAAACGGAATAGAATTTGTTCTCACTCGATGCCCACAAATTAACCCCCACTTGTGGCTAAGTAACTTTAACATAAAACAGTATGTACAATCACAATGAATTATATTTTAGTTACATGAATGAAATCTAAACCGTTTAATTGGCTGCACACAGCAAAGCAGAGTCTAGAATATCAATATAATCTAACGTAAATAGCTAGCACCAAATATTCAGCTAACAGAGCTACTTTCAAACACTCGGCATAAATTCGGAACTAACTCTTCTACCGTGAACTCTTAAATTCTGATACTTAAATACTATTTCTGAACTCATTTAAATTTGCATATGCGTCATTTAAATTTGAATTCTGGCAGGAAACTGAAATAAGAAGGAAAAGAAAAGTTTCTCAAAATAATAATTAAAAAAAAATTTTTAATGCAAAATCATTACAAGTGTAGTATACAATTTTCCAAAATCATAGCAGTTAATTTGTTTAATTTCTAGTTCTTCAATAATGGAAATGATTGCTAAATTGTTATTAATGGTCCAACAAAAATTGTTTTCTTCAATAAAATATTGTTTCAATAAAATATTGTTATCTCCAGCGCACGAAACTGTATATATGAAATTCTAAAGATATGCTGTTTTTAAATATTTTTAGCTCAAAGAGGCTTTAGCCCAAATGCTTTCGAAACGAGTATGCATGTTTAAACGAAAAAAAAAAAAAAAACCCCTTTGAGCGTAATATAAAATCTGAAGGCTTTCAGATTTTTTTCTTTGTTATTTTTTTAAATGGTAATATTATTTTGCTTACATTAATTTAAATCTGAAAAAGGAATTCAGAAACAAAAGCTAGCTAGAGCTATTAAGTTGAAAATGAAGATTAGTTTTATGAGTTGGTAACAATAGATATTATTTTTATTTAGCAAAAAAGGCGAAATATCTGTATGATATTTTACATTTAAATGTTTTTTTAATTTAATAAATTCTTATAAACTCTGTAAGTATCAATGTTTAGTTTTTCGGACATGCTTTGACTTTAATATTTAGCAATGGTTTAGGCTCAGGTATCTCAGTAATATTTTTTTATGATGTCGAAGGTTATTCATAACAGATTCAATGATAACAGTTAGAACGATACAGAAGCCTTCGCCTAACATTTATACTTACAAAACATAAGTTGCTTTATATATGTATGAAAACAACCTAACTAAAATTTTTGTATATGTAAGTAATACCCTATGTTTCGTTTGGAAGTTGTACATTGAAAATTATCTGAAGAACATTTCTCACTGGTAAAATTTCCAGTTTAGTCCATAGACTTAATTTACTTTTTTAAACTAGTTCTTCATTTTAATAAGCCTCGCAAATTTTATAATTAATGTTTAATTTCATTATCAGTCATAGTATATCAAAAATGGAAAATGCTTACGAAACTCTTGCAAAAAAATTTACTTATCCTTTAAAAATCATGTAAAATTCGTGTAATATTACATAATACAAAATGGATATAGTTATAAAAAATTAAGAAAACTTATTTAAAAAAATCGTATTTCGATATATACGTGATACGATTTCGATATAATAGCATTTGATCGTCAAAGACTCAGATTAGTTAACGTATATAGAATATTAATAACAGCAAAAGGAAAAATCGAAATCTAATATAGATTTCGTTCATTTTTAAACTCAGCACTGTATATTCAACTACAGTAATTGTCAGGTAACGCGCCTATTGGAAAGTAACGCAATATATAGCAAGTGAGTCGAATAGATATAATAGCACGCAACATATTTCATACCCTCTGTCCTCTGCGGGCGACATGCTGTAGTCTTTTCCGAAAGATGATCTTGGTTATTAAAAAGGAAAGATTCATAGCTACTCTTTTACAGTCTGTCTTTCAGTCATCAAGATTTAACCACTGATAAGAATTGAACTAATGATAACCTGTCACCTATATTCTTTGGAAGAGCAACTACAGCTCAAGTTCAGGAATTGAATTCATATTCTTCTTAATGCTTCTTGGTGGTCTCATAAGGAGAGGATTTTAAGAATTATTCTTTTGCTTCTTCTGATTTCAAGAAATGGATTTTTCATCGGAAGACTTTTATTTGCTAGTATAGTTCTCGGTCAAAGTCTTATAAAGCTTCTTCTTGTGTAAAATTAACCAATATCAGATTTTAGATTTTGGAGATTTTTGCAATAAATTAAAAATAAATAAATAAATAAAAGTTTTCAGATTTTATATATTACGCCCAAAGAGGTCTTTCTTAACCGTTTTCTGTGTTACATTTATTTATTTAATATCATATTCTTGACACTTAAAACATAAAATCCAATTCAAGAGCAATATCGCAAAATAATTTAAAAAGAGCATATCTTTAGAATTTCCGATACACAGTCTCGCGTGTTGGAGATAAAAATGCTTCGGACAGTGCCCGTTGCTCGCTTTGAAATTGTTGAGTTTGTTAATCAAAAATTCCTTAAAGTGCTACTAAATATGAAATCCATAATAAAACAAATTCCAAATTCTAAATTAGGGCTTCCAGATGCCCATATTTGGTGGAGACGTACGTTATTCAAAATTTTATGGCTCTAGGTACCGTTGTTTTATCACATTACGAGAAACATACATACATTCATGCATATTCTTCATTATTTAATTTCCTTAAAAGTAACACAGAGCGATAATATTTGGTGGCAACAATTTGAAAAGTGAAACGGACATTTAAAATTTTCAATGCAAAATGAAATTTATAGCCCTTCTGAACTAACGCCCTTTGGGCTAAAAAAAGACAACCATATAAGGTGACGATAGATAAAATAAATAACTTAATACAATCTCTACATATAATAAAACGAAAAGTCTGTTTGTATGTGAGTCCTTCGTTCGTGCTGAGGGTAAGCTAATAGACCCAGGGCTATGAAATTTGGTACATAGGGTGCATCTAGACAAGAGCGAGTGTAACTCGAAGAGATATTTTTAAAATTCGAATCATATTTTTTTAATTTATGTTTTTGAATCGCATCAAAC